GCCATTTATAGTGGATTTTCCCATGAAAAATGGTGATTTTCCATAGTTATGTTAGTTTACCAGAGGGTAATAATATTATAGTAATAATAATGCTAGTAGTGCTACATGTGGCATGTTTCCTCTCATCGCTTGTTGTTCCTCCAAGCACTTTTCAGCTTTTCAAATCTTGCAGCATATCCTTATCCCTATCCTCTCACACGATGTCAAGTGCAAAATGATGAAAGGATCGCCCTGCCAATAGGTATGGGTCAGCTCACCCTGTAGTTCACTGCAAAATAAATTGGATATATATATATATATGTATGTTCACCCCGGGAAATATGGAACAATAGGCTTTGATCCATGCCCATATCGCAAAGTATGGTTTCAGCCACAAATTTGGCCTGTCTCGACCCAAGCATGTGCTTGTCTGTAAATAAGGTACAAATCAACTGGTCAAACATCATGGTCAAAAAATTGGCTAATTGAAATTGCCAGTTTGTGGTACCACCCCAAATTTCAATCAAACCCATATCTCACCTTGTTGTTTCCATGATATTCACGGTTTATAAGTGATATGATGTTTGGATACCCCGATCACATCAGATTCATGCGGTAAACCAAAAAAAACAAGCTGTCACCATTCTTGGCTGCAGGCTCTGCCACCACAAACTGGTACCCTCACCTAGGTGCGGCCCCGAGACAGACGAGACCTTTTCGAATGGTGCGTTAAAACTTGTCGTTTGGGAGAAGCAAAGGCACAACAAATCAATGCATGCACAAGTGTGCTATAAATATGTGTAGAGTATATAGTATGTATATATATATATTATATATAGATATGGAAATAATGTGTATATGTATATGCACATGTTGCTTTTATGTTCGGCCCAAACACGGCTTAATGTCAGATGACTCGAGTTGATGTCAGGTCTTGTTGATCTGGGATGCTGTCCAGCCTTTAGGAGTCTTGGCTGGGTCTCTCATGGCTGGACTTATGCAACTAGGAATGCGGAAAACGATGTCTCATGGCTGGATCATTGCACATTGCAAAATTATGTTTTAATATGTTTTGATACCTCTTGTGGTTGTCACTCCTCTGACTGACTTTGATCTAGAACCGCCAAGGCAAATGCACTCACTTGTCATCTCCTATCAGATTTGGCCATTCTCGTTGGTGTTTGATGACAAAGGAACATGATCACTTGGGCTTAGGAATGAGATGTAAGTTGGCGGCTACTGTCACTATCACAATCATGGCAACAATGCCAGCAACGCTAATGACACCTAGTGACCATGGGAATCACTCAATCTCGAATATTAAACCCATGTCTGTCTGCATGCATGCATGCATGCATGTAACATATAGCATCTAGCACAATGGCATATGTCATGTATCACATATCTCACACACATGTATGTATATACATATATATATATATACAAATAGGCAGGTAGATAGATAGATAGATAGATAGATACCCTCTGGTAAACTAACATAGCTATGGAAAATCACCATTTTTCATGGGAAAATCCACTATTAATGGCCATTTTCAATAGCTACGTTAAATTACCAGAGGGTAGATAGATAATATATATACATCAGATCATCATACACGTGTATAATCACTTATAATTGTATATATATATATATATCACATATCCCAACATGTCTGCTGTCATCCTCACTATTTGCACAGCCGTTGTTGCTGTATCATGTCATAGCCCCATCCCCAGGCTTGAGGACAGAAAAGGCCCGCCCACTGATGCTGAACATGTCCTGTTATCCAAATACCTGTCAGTCTGGTAGAGTCCATCATTGCCGGGGAAATCCAATTCGGTGAACAGCTTTGGGAATTCATCATGGGGAAACAGAAAGAACCACGTTACTCCACGTTATATATTCAAAACCATGAAGTTGAACTTATTTCGAACAAATTATGTATATATATATATATACACGTATATCATTCATCCAGAGAAAATCATTCATCCGGTGCATCCCAAGACTTTCAACCAGCGAACACTGGGGGCCCAGGTCAGTTGCGGTCAGGTCTCCATCCAACTGGCGCCACTTGCGCAGGCCGTCACCCACTTCTGGTGGTTCAACCTCAAGATTTTGGGAAGGAAAGCCATGGGATCCATGGGATATTTTGCCCCCCAAAAAATGGGATGGTACCCTAGCGGCAGCCATGCTTCTTAGCTTTTTGGCCAGCTTGATTCTGCTTTAAGCAAACCAGATTACAGGGATACACATGTGGATTTCAGCAAAGACATCTAGAACAAAAAGGCTACACGGGGTGGCTACTTAAGCAATACAACATGCCACTATAGACAGCAACAACTTATTGAAATGACAGCAATTCGCCTTCTCTATTGAGCAGGTCCTGCTCTACTCTTTGGATACAGTTCTATGACTGTCAGGGTATTTTTACCCAAGGCCCCATAGCAATCCACGAAGGAAAACAAGTGGATCTAAGTGGGCCTATCAGTTGGAGCCTAGCCCAAGGAGATCCCAAATGAATCCAAATGATATATTGTTGCACGGGCAAAGGGCACCAGAAAATACTCGTTTATACAGTCTTCATCAAACTTCAAAACATGGAAAACAATGTATAGATATATATATATATATAGTTGTGTATATATATATATATATAATAATCTCTTTGCCTCCGCTGGGGTGAAAGGGGAATCTAAACTGAAAATGGTTGGTCTGCGCAGGCCATGGTCTATAGAGAAGTACTTTGAAACGTAAGATATCTGGTGGCATTGTATGTATGAATGAATGTATGAATGTATGAATCTACATACGTACGTACGTACGTACGTATGCATGTGTATAGCCTCACACTGAGGTAGCCCTCAGTGTAGAGAAGCTGTTGTGCAGTTTTGCATCTGCACGTCAAGTCCCCCTTGATGTTGTGTGGGTTGGACCATTGCTTGCGACATCTCGAAACAGCATTGATATTAAATTCTATCACCACAGCATGTAGGATACCCAAGCTACCCTGCCTTTAATCCTTCACCACTCAAGTATCGTGTTTCTTCAAACATGCCCTGCGACATGATCAACATCGCAAAACAAGAGTCGTTGACAATCAACTTCACTTATGTTACCGTAAATTCACAGTTGCCTTGGCCCAACCCTTGATGCATCCGCCCCACTTCGGCTGTACATTCTGCGCATCACAGGGGGTCAAATATCGACGAAATCATCCTGGGCAAGGGGTATTGGCATATGAGTTAGCCAGAATTTAAGGTCAAAACCGCATTGTATTTTTCCAGGAATTCTGACAATGGTGTTGTGTGGATCTTGATGTTGATGTTGATGTTGATGATGTTGTTGATGATGATGATGATGATGGTGTTATTGATGATGGTGTTATTGATGACAAAGAATGGAGAAAGCCGATGCACTGGATGTTCAAACAGACCACCAGTTCTTGGGTTATCCTGAAAATATTACGCTGGTGAGTTTGTAGCTGGATTCCTACAAACAACACAGAACAGAACTTGCCAGAGACAACCAAAAGTTTGAACTGAATATGCAAATATATACTATGACTATCACCAGTAATAAACTGCTCTAAAGCATCACAGCTCAAAATCGCCAAGGATCTCCAGGCGAATTTTCTGCAGTTCGTCCCCTAGCACCAGGGGAGCACAAAACATGTCCGAAATGGATGTACGAAGACACGGACGGAGGCATCTGCCGAGGGACGGGATTTCTTCGACAGTGCCCCATCGACAATGGCTCTCTTCCTCAGCTGGGAATCCGAAGCTGATGGGCTGATGGGCATGGCTCATGGCTCCAGGTTCAATGTCCAAAGGGCCAACTGCGGATCACATGGGATGAGATGCTCGTTGGAACACTTTAGAAGTCATGAGGAACAGCATCTGGAGAAGAATCCATTGCGGATCTAAGTCAGGTCCAAGCTGGATTCGACAGCTAGCTGTTTGATGCTTTAGCACGTTGGAAAGCATCCAAACCTTGATTGCCGGGTTCGCTGTTGTACTTATGCACGTGATCACTCTGTGTGTGTATTGCTATGTATATAATGTGTATATCCAGCAGCAAAAGAACTGGATGTACATCTATCTGGTTGAAATACGGACATTTTGGGATAGGTATGGATAGGTACCCAAACTAATTAATTATAAATTGACCATCATGTCAAGTGACGTCCTAGTGACGTCCTTACCAGGTAGATTCCTGAAGTGAACCCAGCTGCCCAAGCTGTTGCAAGCCGTGCAGCTGTTTCTGAACCTCCAAAATCCGCTCCTAGCGCAGGAGTGTGATCCAAAATGACCGCAGCTCGCGGCAAATTTGCTGATTTTGGCTGTCAGGATTTTGGTTGAATTTTCATGATTTTTCCGCATCATTCCGCCATTGAATCCATTGAAATGTTCATATGCGCCCTGGGAATTTAGGTCACGCCCAGTGCTGGTGAAATCCTGCATTTCTCCGGTAAAAACCAGCAGTTTCCTTGCTCTCCCCATGTTCTTCGGGTTAGCTTCAAAACTGGTTTTGTCTGAAACATGGGGGTATTCCATGGTGGTTTAAATCCCATTTGTTTCCCGTGATTTGATGGGATCCCTATTTTGATGGCTATCCTGGTGAAAATCCGACGATCTCATGCGGTTTTACCACACCAAACATATCCAAGTACAAACATGAATTATAGAATATCATAGATTAATGATGTTTCCATGTTTCCATTCAAAGCTCCGTTCTACTCCATTGAGTCCGGGGATCTCCAGGCCATCTTTGAATACCAAATGATTAATCAGCAATAAAATAATTGAACTCCATGAAACGCAAGATTTACTTTTGATAATTTTTCCGTTGTATGCCCATTCTATTCATACCCGTTCAAACTCCACGACATCACCACTTTCCAACTATATTCCCATTAAAGTCCAAAGATTTGCTGGAATATCTATGTGGGGAATTTATTTCCAACTATATTCCATGGGGAAATCCAACTATATTCCCATATCCATCCATATCCCCACTTTCAAATGTCAGATTTCCCATGATTTCGCCATGATTTCCTCAAAACCCATGAAATCCCATCGAGTTCCCATGGAAAATGGTCCTCCACCGTGCGCTCGGCCACGAAGCGTAGCGCCCGCACGGGGCGGCGCTGCCCCAAGCGGTGCAGACGATCTATGGCCTGGTCCTGGTCTTGGGATTTCGTGGATTTTGTGGATTTGACACGGCATGGTCAATCTTTTTGGCAGAAAAAAACCCGAAAAAAAAACGGAAAAAAAGGGGTCATCTTTTGCTGGTTGTTTTGGTGATGTTCCATTTTTTTTGAAAAAAAACCAAGGATGAAACTACGTATCCAAGGTTGGGGATGATGGGCATGGATTTTAAATGGCGATAATCTGTAGGAGTTTCATTATGAAATGGGGATGTCATATGGATTTTGAGTTATGTTTGATGATCTAACGGGAACATCAAAAGAAATTATAAATTTAGTGTAAATCCAGTATGTCATAGTTGGTATTCGATGGCTTCAATTCCTGTTATAAATTGCCGGTACGGGTACTATGTCGCCACTGAAAGCGGCTCCTCAACTGCTGGGTTCCACCACCTCGGAAGTTGAACACTGGGAACTCGACATGTTTGCAAAGTGGAACATCGCTATTTTGAAGTTCGGTACATCAACTATGTCTATGGTATTCTATGGTCATGTTTAATTGCAAACTGCTATATTACCAGAGGGTATAGGCTGTTAATCCTATCCCGCTAATACAAAGCATGGTTCCAAACATATTTAAATCTCCCGTACTCAACAAAATTCTTTCCAGATGATGTCTAATAATTTGATCTAATTTGGTGGGTGGGATTACTTGCTAATACAATGGTCATTTTTGGTGAGAATCTTTATATTGTAAACTCACTACTCGGGCTTCCCGGTTCGGTTAGAAACTCCCATGGAACTGATGGCTTCGTGCCGGTCCACCGGATCACCTCTTCAAATTAAAGGTCAACTGAATACAAAGATATACAGATGGAAATGCCCTCCGGTAACAAATGTTACATAGCTATTGAACATGGCCATTTATAGTTTTATAGTTGATTTTCCCATGAAAAATGGTGATTTTCCATAGTTATGTGAAAGTTTACCAGAGGGTATATCGAAATTACTTGACATCACCAGCCAGGATTATTGGATGCATGGATACTATCCTGCTGTAGATTCCACTAATTATACTCTTTTGATCTCTTTTGCTTCTCCTGGGGATGCCCATTACAAATGATCATAAATACAAATAATATCAAATAATATTATCATCCAGGTAGTGCATTTTCTTCCCTGTGTGATTTTATATCAGGGATTGATGATACATTATCAGAGCAGGGGAATTACCATAATGGCGATTCCCCATAAACCAGGTCGCGTAACCCCCTACTTTTTCACTACTCAACAGGTATCAACTAGTCAACTGCCACGGGTTCCCGAGCGGATCAATCAATAGAACGTGGTCAGCAGCTGTCAAGTTCAAGCCTGGCCCATGGGAAAACATCGCGTCAATGAGACTGAAAAAACATGAGCTGGAGAGTTATTGATGAACAAATAGAACACATGACAGTTCCACTTGTGGATGAAAAGCCCTGAAGCTTTAGCCACATCATGAAACTGAATTTGGATGAATCTTGTGGATGGGGTGGATGGGATAAACAAGATGGGGGGACAGCATGGGTGCTTCTTGAAGTGGGGGGACACGTACAAGTCTCATACAAGTGACCAAGTTGGTGGTTTCTAGTAGAACAAAAAAGCATTGGTTTTGGGATTTCCCAAGTCACTTGAAGCAACCAGGATGCCAGTAGATGATGTGGGCATATGTGCACAACTGAAAACGACATATCTATAGATTCATGCTTGATAGAGAATACATACAGTATATGATAAGCCATCACACACACACACATATATATATATATATATCATATACGTATATCATCCATCTATAAATACGAATGGGATGTGAATGGCATGTGAATGGCATGCTATGTAGCCGGTAAACGAAGCTAGCCGCTTTGATCGGCGCTGGACTCACCTGGACAAGTAAAACACGAAATTCACTCTCCGAGATGCTAAGCTGCTAAAATATGAATATTTCGCATACTTTTTAGCACATATTTTGTTCACCAAATTTTGTTCACCAAATTTTGCGCATACTTATATACGACATATATATATATATGGTTTCTGTCCAAAACGTGGATATACCGGTATAGCATGCTATACCTGCTACCCGGCAAGTCGGATGCCACCATTGTATTGCGGGAACATCAGGTATCCAGTCTAAAATCCATTGTTGATTCACCATGATTCACCATGATCCATAATTATTAAACTAACTAATGTTTGATCGATTTTGGCGGGCCCCATTTTCAGACGAGCACATTTTCATTTATCACGCATGAATTTGGTCACAGAATTTTCCAAGGATGAAATGGAGGTCACTAACCAACCAAGTCCAAACAAGTTTGGGTTGAACATTGGAAACATAACTGGTTGGTAGTTTCAACGATCTTGAAAAACATGAAAGTCAATGGGAAGGAGTATCCCATATATTGTGGAAAAATATGGAAAATGAAAAACGTTTGAAACCACCAACCAAATAATCCCATAATCCTATTTGTAGATCGTCTGGCCTCAGGCTCCTGCTGCGTCACCGTTGACACCTGACATGACCCAGCCTGTACCTGCTGCTTTCAAGCTGCACAGCATGACCTGCTGGAAGGGCTCAAGATTTTTGCGGTAAAGCCGGGAGATCTAACGTACAACCTATATGTCCACAGTCTGCACATGGACACATGTATACGTATACAATATACATGTGCATGTGTATATATATATATATATATCTATTTACATATGTATATATATATATATATATGCACGTAAAATGTACATAGGCATATGACTATGCATATAACTTTTTTGGTGAAGAGTTTGCTTTTTTTTGATAGAGCTGCAAGCCCTGCGAAGAAGTTGGAAAAGACTCGAGAAGACATATAATTTTAGTAAAAGATGGTTAATCCCTTGCCCCTAACCCTGGTTTAGTATGAAATGTGTTCACCTGCCGGGCCTTACCGGGGATATTTGGGAGATGGGATTGATAACCCAAGTTCTGCACCCCAAAATTGGATGTAGTTCATATACCCCACTGAATAACATGGAAAAATCCCCGTTATATTATTACCAGCTCCAAATATGTCCCTCTATATATCTCTATATCATGGTTCCTACATATCCCACTATCTCCCGCTCATCTCCCACTCCGTTTTATTAGATCCCATCATATCACTAATATGGGTAAAACAATCGTACACCACCCCATTTTTGGGTGATTTGGGGGATGGTTTATGGCATTGGTTTGACATGTTTAAAACACATTACATCCCATATGTTAAATCAATGCTTCCGCACCTGGATATGCGGATGCCCTGCAAAGCTCTGCTGCGCATGCACCCGCGCATCGTGCTTCATCTGTCCGTCCAAACGCACGAAGGGCCACTGTTGTGACTTGAGCTCCTTTCGGATGCACAGAAGAATGGTTTTAACATGTTTGAACCAACAAGGTGCCCTCTGGTAATTTAACATAGCTATTGAACATTGCCATTTATAGTTTAGTTACCCACTAAACAAATGTTATTTTCCATAGTTATGTGAAAGTTTACCAGATGGTAACAAGGGAGAACCGAACCAATGACAGTTTTGATCACAGACTCTTCACAGCCACAAACTCGGTCTCCAAAGCTCGTCAGCCAAGACACAGACTGAATCAGATCCAAAACGGCGGTGAACTGAGAGAAGATCACCGCCTTGTGATTTTTTCCTTGTGGATCCTTTTTCCTGAGCTGGACATGGGGGTTTCCAAAGTCATGGGAATACCGCCAAATCATCCAAGTCCTTAGACCATTTTAGGATTCAAACCTGCGGTTTTGGGGTACCCCCATTTTAGGAAACCTCCAAATGGCTGCAAAATACAGGTGGATGATAGTTGCCATTTTGGATTTCCCAGGGCCAGGCTGCTGAATGATGTTCTCCTGCAGGAAAGCGATCACAGCACCTGGGGTGCGACACAAAGATCGACAACTAGCCATGGCTATATGAAATACCCTCCGGAAATCAACCATGGCCACTGAACATAGCCTATTGATGCCTATAAATGGAGGTTTTAATGGGAAAGCACAACTAGAAATGCCTGATGTTTAATTGACATGTTTGATTATCAAAGGGTAGTATTGTGAAGTTCTGATTCTTTTCAATATTGGTGGCATTTTCAAACATAGAAAATCAAATTATCATCATGATTCTTGGGACAATATCCACCAAAATCATACAGCCAGCAAGTTGTTGGCTATTACCAACCATCATATAACAATTTCAACCAAAACTAGGCCAAAATCACCAAGAACAATCCTATTAATCCACATAGATCCCCTGCAAAGTGATGCTATATATAGTTACTGTACCTAACTTGGCACACAGTTCACTAGGGTAACTCGGGATTAATTCTAGTGATGTGAGTTTTGAAATCAACAAGAGTACACAAAAATTAAAAACTACGTTTAGGTTCATCACCTTTGATATTTCAACATATTCCAAATGCATCATAGAATCATAGATACGAACAATATCTTAAATCAACACAGATCTCCTATGATTGCTGGATATTGCTGGTTTCCCATGGCAAATTTGTGCTGTCACCGGTGGCGACCACCGCCAAGGCGCGAATTTTTGACCCACTGGCCGCGCCGGTCGCAGAGGTTTCGTCACCCTCCACGAGTTCCAGCTCCTTGGGCCGACCCAGCAGTCGGGGCATGCCAGCAAAAGTGGGTTATAAGTGGGTTATAACCCACTTACTAAGTGGGATGAGCCACCAAGTATCACACTTTAATGGATTGGCTTAAGGGAAAATCATGGAAAATCTGCAGAACTCCATGGAATTTCCCATGAAATATGGATGTGTCCTGCAAAGATGTCCTTCAACCAATCCATTGAACAATATATCGACATCTATGTATACAGGAATGTCCTAAACTATTGGCATTTTGCTATTGGAAAATCATGGAGCTGAATGGGTGTTGTCCATTGCCATTGTTTGACTACCAAAAGGCATGCGTAAATAAATAAACATATATATATACATACATGTGTGCAATATAATGATATAATGTATGTATGTATATATATATATATATACATGTGTGTGTGAAAAGATGTTACACACGCACACACGAATGTATAGGCTCAATACAATTTGTATCAATTTGTGATTTGTAAATTGAGAGTCTACTAGGATCAAGCTTCACATGTAGAATAATACCCGTGGCATTGGCCATGGGCTGCCCATGTCATATCGCGCGTATGCGACACACAGTTGTGCCTCATAGATCTGAAACAAAAAATGTACATATTATAAGACATTATATATATAATATATATATTATCTTAAATCTGTGTAATTAAATGTAATTTATATATCTATATGTGCTGAACACTTACAGCATTCGACCAATTTAGACCATGTGACGTGACACTCTTTTTCGGAAACCCTGGGGCCACGCAACTCCCCCAGCATCAACAAGCTCAAACATTTCAATCTAGGCTTTACGTTGAAATGTGGTAACAAATAATACATCCTTGCTTAATGGTAAAACAACAGTTATAAATAGTACCAAAAAAAACATCCCAGGCATTTGGGGATGGTTCTTACATCCTTGTTTTTGATGGGGTTTGCCATGGTTTGCCAGATTAACTTGGATTTGCTTAAGGGTCTCCAAAGGTAAGAACAACATAATCCCGATCGATTCCCTCAAATGGCTGATGTTCCATTGAAGAATCACCAGCTAAAGAAGCTCAGGTTCTTCCCACTTTCCGCCCCAATGCCCATCTGGCCCATCCCAACACCACCAAGTTGCTGCAGGTTTTTCTAAGAGTTCCGACTTCTTGATCACCTGCCATGAATGCCACCCAGATATAGGACCAGCCCCAGAAAATCGAGTACAGTGTTTTGTTTTTGGTGTCATGGTTGTTGATGTTTCTTGGTTGGATGTTAGTTTTCTATCTATTTCTGGAAGTCATTGGATGTCATTGGGTATAGCCTAGTACAAAGGTTGGAGTTGCTGAGGTCACCCTCTCAGGTGGAGAAAAAACATTTAGGGATCGTCACCCAGACATGACGATGCCAAAACCTAAAGAGAGCGGGCTTCATTCCACATGAAAATGACAGAAACGTGTGACATATGATCCTCCATAAACTCAGGTAACATAATGTGACAGATGTTTCAATGACAGAAAGCAATTGGACCATTCACCCACCATGAACCGAGCTTCATTGTAGTTCAGTCTTCTTTTGGCTTATAAACTGTGATTTCAGCCAAAAGGCAATTGGTTACACCAAGATTGGATGAGGCAGAACTTCTCTTTCCTGATGAACGTTGCAATTCTGGGGTTTTATCAAGTTTTATCCATGCCTGGACAAGTCTATAAGCGTGATTCATCCAAACCCCATATTTGATGATTTAATAGGCCAGTTAATACCAATGATTTAATCACCCAGATTTCATCATCCCCATATTTGCAAGTTTAATACCAATTGCTCACAATTGTTGATGCCAATCGTCCAGCATGATAGTATGATGCACCAACTTGAAACTGGTGAAACTCCAACGGTTCACCATGTCGGATGGCTAAACAGGGGCTGGTACATGTCCTAATTGTGCATGACCCAACTAGTGGGAAGATAATTTCCAACAAAAACTTCTGAAAGTGATGCTCCAAATCCCCAAAACATGATATTTACCGACCCTTTATACTTCTATAGCCCGGAAGCCAGGTATAACTGGCTAAGAAAACCCCATTGAAGTGATTTTTACCAACTAGTTGAAGGAGTTGCAGTATTTCATCCCACGGCCAGAACTGTTGAGGGCTATGGCTTTAAGCATAACCCCACTTCTAATCCCATTTATATAACAGCTAATTCATCCACTTATAATCCCATTTAAGGGATATATAACTTATATAACCTACTGTAAGTTATTCTAAGTTGAAGGAGTTGCTTAAGTGTACCCGCCTGTTAAGGGCCATGACTTACATAACTCTGTGGTTATCTGTGGTTCAACATGGCTTTTTACCCCCCGCCCACGCCCTGGGTCACATACCGGCAGAGCGGGCACTGTCCTTGCCCTGCACGGCCCAGCTGACGCAAAGCCGTCTCGATGCAGCTCCGGTGGAAGACCTGGACGGTCGTCAGGTTTTCGTGTGGGAAACGAAACATGATTAGCCTCTGGATTGATGTTAGTTTAATGGGGTATTAATAGTGATTCAGAGTGATTTAGAGTGATTTAATGGAAATTGATAGTGATTTATAGTGATTTACTGGGATATACCCTCTGGTAAATCATGGGATCAATCACTATAAATCTCATTGAATCACTATAAATCACTTTATTTATGGAAAATGATAGTGATTTATAGTGATTTAATGAGATTTATAGTGGTTCAATGGGATATGAATGGGATATACCCTCTGGTAAACTAACAGTTTGCGACATAGAACATGGCCAACTAAAGTGTGTTGATTTACCCATTGCAAATGATGGTGATGTTCCAGTTAGTTATGTTAGTTTACCAGAGGGTCATGACTATTAATATGAATATGGTTAGCAATACCCATAGGATCCATGTATGGTATATATGGTAACATTTACCATCAATATACCCCAAATGTTAGCATATATACCATACATGGATCCTATGGGATATAAGGATAATGGCGTTTCATGATTTGATAATGGTCATCAAGGGTTTTTCATGATGAAATAAACGGGTGAAAAGACACGGGAAATCCAACGGATGGATGGTGATGAATATGGCTTAAAGCCATGGCATGTGATGGCTTCATTTCATGGTTATTTTCATGGTTACTAATCTAATCCTCATTCTTACTCATCATCCCGTAGATGGGATGAATTGAAACCTGGGGACAAGAAACCCATTTTTGTTTACTTGTCATTTGGGGATTTAATACATAAATGATCATCAACAACTACAAATTTTGGGGATGCTTAAACAACTACGCCCATAAAAATGCTGATGGCTTCGGGGATTGTGCTTTGTGGCATTGGGTTTGCCACATTAAAATATCGGCTGATTGAACAGGCTCCAGGCTCGCTTTTTTTTGAGCTCCGAAGAGCTCCCTAGCCACTGGACAGTTTAGCAGCAAAACACCAACATAGATCGTAATATTGTAATATATTTATATATATATATACATATATATATATATATATTTGTATATATACATATATATCTATATGAAACGTTTGTTTCTAAGAGATTCTTTTTGGGAGATGATTGTCTGGCTCCAACGAGCGCCGATTCTGATCCATTCTGGGGGGTCCGAGGATCCCAAGATCAAGTCAGAGGCCAAATGCCAGGTTGCATGACCACAGCGTGCCACAATGTCGCAAGTGGGCTCCATACAGATACTGCCTCAAGGGATGCTACATGCAGTGAAGATGTGGTAACATGGGCAGATGGTTTACGAGACCCGGAATGCATGATATACAAGAAACAAAAACAATGGGACATAAGTTGTACACCTGATCTAACCAAGCATCAGAAAGGTGACGTAATCCCTACATATCATATCCCTACATGCCAAGAAAAGATATAAAAAATGAGGACATCCCGAGTGTATCCAATGGGCCGTAGCCAATGGGATCCACTGGCCCATGGACCAACAACCGTGGTTGGTAAGTTGGGTTGTAAACCTCTTTCATGGTTGCTGTACCCAGGGGATTTTAACCAGTGGATTGGTCCTGACCGATTGACCGGTTGACCACCAATGTCCAGCAGATGGGTGGATTTATCATCTCCATGCCGTTGGTAAATCTGAAGCTATCATTTGGTGCCTTAAGTTCCTCATCCTCAACTCGAGTTGGTTTACACGCATCTTTATCGATTGTTGAAAAAATTGCCCACCTCCCTGGCTTAGTCTTGTGCTACAATTTTCTTTCACCATTCACCACCAGCTTAACTCAACTTAAACATTCTTTATTTCACGTGCCAAGCTATATGTCGTGAATTGTTGGGGGAACTGTTCGCCAAGCATTGCCCACCAGATTCAATTAAATTACGGATAGTTACCGTCCATTTGGGGATGCCCCCCCTACATTAATTTGCCATCAATTCGAGCGATGTCGCAGTGAGATGTATCATGTATCCCATCGTCAATCCTACCAACCATCGTTGCCGGCTAAATCCCAATGTTTCACTGAAAACTCCTATGTGTCACCCCCAAAATGTTGCGCTAAAGCGTGCTATCAACATATACCAAGCATCATTAACCTTCATTGCGCAATATCAACCATTGGTTAACCAATATCAAGTCAGGGCCCTAAAATGGATGTAGTGTACCATAGAAAGTCATATTCTGGGGGCAGATCCCCTTACAGAGCCTAAAAATAGGCCTCACTGAAATGGCCATTGATTAACTATCAACTATTAATAACTATATGTCACAAAGTCACAAAGCTATGATCATTCTCAACCATTCCCATGATCATTAACCATTTGCGGCAACATCAACAGGCGTAACAACGCCCCGTGGCGGGAGCCTAGGGATCTCCGATCCAAGGCGCAGTCGTCCTCCTGTGCCTCCGCCAAGTTCCGCAGCAAATCCTCCACCCTGGAGCTGCCCAGCGCCTGCACGGCGGCCTGGAAGACGCGATCCACGTCACCTGCGCAACAAAGGACACGCGTAAGGTGGGCAGGTCAAAGAAGTGTTAAAAACCGGGCAAAAATGGGAGATATATCATATATGGATTTATATATATATATATGGATATATATATATGTATATATATATATATATGGGATTTATAGACCTTTATAGCCTGCATGGCAAGACAATGCAAACCATTGATAATCTGCTGAGGGACTATTGTGCTAGTCAGACACTCACTGACATATGACCCAAGAGGGCAAACTGACAAACTGACTTGTGTTACAAACCAACCACGAATGTTTATTTGAATCAGTACAGTATCTGCGATAAGCCCAAAGCACGGGAATTAGTAACTGCATGTAAGTAACAATGGTTGCTACCCAGCTGGGTAGCTGCCACGCTTTCTCAACATGTGCCCCACCTGTGCCGTTTGCCAGCTCGCTCAGGAGCTTTTCAGGCAGCAAAGTGGTGGAGCAGCAGAGCTGCCGCAAACGTGTCAGAAGTGACAGCACCTGACGTTGCTTTCGCCGATGCATGAGACCCAAATTGGCTGTGTTTGCTGTGGCAATAATTATAAGATATTATAAGCCATGTGAAACCAATAACCACCCCATGCCTAGTTGCTTATATGCTTATAAGAGTCGATTATTTATTTGAATCTGTCAGATTCCCTAATTTATTTAAGGTTCAAGCACGTATCATTGCAATCCCATCCCCCTGAAACTCCGGTTTCACCTTGAATCTCTTCATTTTGGGATCCCAAAATAATAAATAACGGGATCTCAGTTGGGCCGGTGGGATTGCCATTTTTCAAGATGCACAAGTTCCACCCATCATCGGTTGCCGCGAAACCTGAGAGAAGTTCTGGCCCAGCTGGCTGCGGCTTTCCATTTCCTTCACGCGTTCGCTGGCACAGTTGAAGAGGCGATCGTAGAGCACACCTGGCAAGCTTGCCCTGCGGTACAGCTTAAATCATCGCTTCACCTCCGTAACTCACCCAACCCGACCAAAATGAACAATTTCTTGTGGAAAAATCACCTTACAAACCTCATATTTCATATTTTGAAGGTTCCCGTCTAATTTTTTAGGCAGCTTACGGCTATGAAGAATTGCGGGGAGCCATGGCATGTCTGAAACCAAGTCTCCAAGGGTGCAAGAAACGGAGAGGGCAGCTGGGATCCCAAAACACTCGCACGATCTTACAACTGCAAACCTGATGAATTGTTCAAAAACACTGGTGAACTATATGCACTGTTCAAAGTAGCATTTAATAATATGATGATTTAAATCCAATTATATATATACGTAAATTTAAATTTGAGATCAGACACTTTCGGCCAACACAAAGATTCTGACTTGACAAAACGGACTTTGAGAGCCATACCCAGCCAACTCTGAAGTGATGGCCGAATACATGTTTTGGGTGACAAACTCCTCATGTCATTTGATAACATCATCCGTTTGATAATGATAGGAATGCACATGAAGATAGCACAAGTGTCGAACGTTGCCCGTAATGTCCCGTCATACGGTTGTGAATCTTGTGGCGTGCTACCTGTAGCTGCTACATGCCAGGTTCCTGATGCTTTATTTTCATTATGCCCATTATCCCCATTATATATCCCCATTATCCCCATTATTTGATGGCCATTTAGGGCCTCATCGTCGCCATTCCATGGCCATTTTGGGGGCATACCCCATTTTCGCTGTGGCCACCATATTGAGGATTTTTTGTGGAATGAGGCAGAAGGTGATGGACGCTCCAACCACTTCTGACTTATGTCTTTCATTACTTTGTATTTGTCATCTGCAAACTGGCATGCGGAATTTCACTAGCATTCACATACAGGAGAAATTGAGCAACTGGAGCATGTCAAAGGAAAACATGCAGTAGAGTACCCCTCAGCAAATCAAATATCGCAATAGGAAAAACACGTTTTAGAGGAAAAGAGCCTCTGAATTTGTATAGATAGCAAATCTTCCATTGCCATGTTTGATTACCAAAGCTTAATTTACCCAGTTTGGCCATGATATTCCAACTTGAACTCCAAGCCACGGTCACCCGATTCCAAGGGCACTCGGCAAACTTCGACAGACTTTGGCGGCAAAAGAAGCAAAGGACGTTCCTGTCCAGAGTTTGGGTCCTGGCACCCGACATGCTGCGCTGCGCGCTGAAGAAGAAGATGGTTTGCTGCGCGCTGAGGATTTATAGTGATTCAATGGGATATTAATGGGATATACCCTTTGGGCCAGATTGCACACTTGCTCACTTGCATTCAATTCGCTTTCTATTGGAATATTGACCTAAAAATATGACACGATATATGACACGCGGGATGCCTGTCAGCTGGCCCCCGGGACGATCATATTGGATCATTCTCCCTGAAAACATCAAAAACTAAGTACCATCTGGTTATGACTAACAGTTCGCCATGGAAAATCACCATTTTTAATAGGTAAACCAGCTATAAATGGGTCATTTCCCATGGCTATGTTACGTCATAACCAGAGGGTACCTTCGTTATCATCACTGGGGCACCCCCGGCCATACCGTGGCCTTGATCCTCATCGCCTTGGTCCGTCGCAAGCACCAGCTGCGCAGTAGGACCTGCAAACGTTCGAAGCCCACCGCATCGCGATTCTTCAAAGGTCGCAGGATGGTACGATTGAACCTGAGATCGCACCAGATCGCGATTCGGCAAACATCACTAGATTACCCAGAGCTTATGGCGATGAAATAGTTCTAGTCGGGTGGCTTTATAAAGCAACTTGCAATTATAAACCATGTATATATATATATATATATATGTATACATATACAACCACCACCTAGTGCTTTGAGCAGCGAGGTCCGGACGGCTGGGGAAGTTGGAGAAGTTGGTGGGACATTGATCCAACCTCTGTGGATTTCTGCATGGTTCGTTGGTAGTTTCAGTCCGTCCCCAATGTGAATCCACCAGCAGCATGGGGTCCCTGACAAAGGATTCAACGCATGGGGTCCCTGACAAAGGATTCAACATGATTTTATGTTTATACTTGTATGATCTTGTATGTAGATTCATTGTAGATCAATACTTTAGAATCTGTTTGATTTGGATTCCATGTCAGACAAGGGTTTCAGTACGACCCACCAGCAGCCTTGAGGCCTGGCATCTCTAAAAACATCATACGCGACGACATGATGATTAGCAGCGTTTCAGAAACGTCAGCGGTTGGGTATATGTTACAATCACATTCATGAATCAGATAGTTGGTGATTGGATTTTTCCAACACATTAAGATCGACAAATCCCAATCACTACCCTCCGGTAGTCACATAGAGCAAGTGACGATTCTTCATGTGTAGCTGCTGTTCCCATTAAAACCTCTATTTAAAGCATTTTCCAGCCACCTGAAACGGTGAAGTGGTGTATACTTCTGGTATACTTTGAACCAGTGACTGTTTTCTTGTCACTTTTGCCAAGAAGCAGCAGCTTTACAGTTTGGGTTATATATTTGGGCGCGTAAACATAGAATCAATGCCTTTCAAATAAAGTGGCGTAAGTACATGTCAAGAAACGTGAATATCTGGAGGATTCCTGCTCTTTGAACATAGTACACGTTCCAGTGACGATGAAAAAGGCACACAGTGGCACAATTGACTGAAATTATGGTAATGTCAACCCTGAATTGATATATATATATAAATAATATATTTAATCATATGTATATGTGTGTGTAATATATTTAATTGTATATATAATATATTTAATTATATTTATATATATATACAGTATATATATAATATATATATATATGCAGTATATATATATAATATATATATATATATATATATTCATAAACCCCTAGCCCCAGATGATCCTCAGTGATCCCAGCCGGATAGACTATCCACCCAAGGTTTTTCACCACCCTGTGTCCAAGACATTCTGAAGAAGTGTGTCAAGTTGGGGTGTCTCAAATCTTTCAGAAAGAAAACATCTCAACAAAATTTCATATAAACCGTTTGAAGCACTTAAGCATAATGTTTTTTTTTGCGGAAGTTCTGGTTCTTCATGTTTCAGGGTGTTCTTTGAACTATGTACGTGTATGTGAGTGTATACATATATAATTAATTATAATTATATATATATATAGTGAAATTCATCCGGCGGTCAATGACCATGCCCAGCAGCCAATCAAACTGATCGAAGGGTTCCAGTTTCAAGAACCGTGCCTGGGGATGAACTCGTCCCTTGTCCCCGGGATAAGAAATTGAACACTGCTGAAGAGTTTGTGTGGACTCTTCCAACATGAGACACTTGCAAAGTGGTGCCCGGGACTCCGCTAAGTCGCTTTACAATTATTTCAACTAGGGTTTGTGGTAGCTAGATCTCTATTTAAAGGGCTTGTCAATGTGCTAAACCCGGCAAACTGCATGGGCAATAGAGTTGCATGGCCAAAATGCGGAGGTTTCCTAAGTCATGGGGCTACACCAAGCCATCCAAGTCGTTAGATGTCACTATTTAGATGAGTTTAATATTTATTGGCTCGTGACGTATGGTGACTTGGGGATCCCAAGGTCCCAAATCAAACAAAAAATATTGCGCATTCTCAACCCATGTTTGCGCATTCTGATGGATCGGGTCATCTTCAATTTCCACTGATTAAATACACAGCAAACCAAAGGTGATGTTTAGGCCCAAAAATGAGGAAAGCAACTGATTTCTCTCCAAACAACTGAAATGCTGGCCAATTTGCCGGTGTTGCCCCTAATCCTCAGCAATACTTAAATCATCATTGTTGGCGAGGTCAAACAATGAGGTCACTATGCCCAAACACCTTAACAGTTTGAATGGTTTTTGTCCACTTGATAACCCATCAGCATAGTGGTGTCCTCCGTGAGAAGTTGGTCCATTAGTTGGTTTCCTTCCCAGCACCAGGTGAAGGAAACCAACCAAGCTATCCCAACTGTGGGACACCTTGCATATCATACTGCCTGGTCATTTAACATAGCTGTGGAAAACGGCCAGTTGAGTTTTGGTTTATGAAGATTCCCTAGGGTAAACTGACATAGATTAGATGATTAGATTAGATGATTAGATGATTAGATGTGCTGACTTTCCACATCTAGCGTTTTTTTAATACCCCAGGGTACGAAACATCATCATAGCCATCAAAATCATCAAACTAAATGATTATTTTTTTATTTCCATAGCTATGTGAAAAATAAATCCTGCCCTGTCAAAAAATCCCCCGATTTTTGCGATGTGCCAGGGTACCAAGGAATACAAATCCTCCGCGGAATTCTGGATCGGCGTCCCGGAAAGGCACCACTTGCACTCAGCCTTCACCAGCCTAACATGGCAAGGAGATAGCCAAACAGGGCACAATGAATGTGAGATGTAGATCCACACACACATAATATATATATATGTATGTATATGTGCATATATATATATAGGTATATCACCTACATAGCACAGGTATATGTACATATCATACATTCACTAATACATTATAATCTATTGGGATTTGTAATGGGGTACATAGATGGATATTAAAACATACATACTGAAAAACAAACCAATGGGATACTAATATATACTAATAACATATCAACAGAATGTTTTTTGGTGTGTGTGTGTGTCTGAAAATGGGTATGCCCGCCACATGGCAGTTTCAATATGGAAGATGATGAGGATTGATCATCAAATGTTGGGGCAACCGGGGAATGCAATTACAACCCGTATCGTCTGCAAAAGGAAAATCATCTTTCCACTACATGCCCAGGTTTTGATACTCGAAACATATTGAAACGGCTAAGGAGCAAAGGCAAAATACCCCGTCACAAACCAGCGTCATAATTTTACAGACAATTACTTCGGACGCTTGCCAACTAGACTCAACCTATGAGAGGCAACTAGGCAAATCGCTATCTTCATGTTGCAGGTTCTTGCGAATCTTTCAAAGTGACAATGCATAGATGTATGTATACATCTATGCATATATAGTCATGTATATATATATATATATATATGTGTGTGTGTGTGTGAAAATATGCAATACTATGTATCCCATGTTTTCCTCTCTTGATTCCTTGATTCCTTCTTCATGTCTCCATGGTCCATGAATCCAAAGGCTTCCCCAGTCGCTTGGTCCAATGATTCATTACTCGGAGATTTCCTGATCTCGCTAAAGTAAAAAAAATGCAGGAACACATGACATTGGCGGCGGTAATGAAAAGCCATGCCCAGGTTTCCAGAAAGCCTTTAGATATCTTTAGATCAATGCGACCAAGTTGCTGGAAGACAGCTTGCGCTGTGGCCTGTGCAGCGCCCAACGAATCAACGGATTGGTTGAAGAATCGGCAGGAAACCATGGCTGCCATAGTATTTTTTTACAATGTTTTGAGCCGTTCTAAGACGGCCAATTTGTTCAGGTTTCTCTGGTCGACCTTCCTTCATCCCATCCATTTCTTGGAATTGTCAATTGGTTTTGTTTCACCCATCCAACTGCACCCACCCAACTGCAAATGTGTCTCATGTATATGTTGTATATATATATATATACATTCCAGTATCATCATCATCATCATCATCATCATCATCATCATCATCATCATCATCATCATCATCATCATCATCAATCATCATACATCATACATCATGCATCATCATCATCATCATCATCAACATCATATGCATATATATATATATATGTCCACCATAGATATGTATATATATATATATGTGTGTGTGTGTGTGTGTGTCCACCATAGATCTGATTGTTAGCTCAACGATAAACAACCCCTATCAAGCTGGGCCTTCTGATTGGGCAATCTATCTTTAGCATCCCATATGGGTTGGTCAATGGGGGCCCCTATGATCAACCAAAATGATGCAGATTCATTCGCTGTCATTCGAAGCAAACTTCAACACCCCCCAAAATGTTTTGAATACTTGATTGTGGCAATGGAAAATTCCCCATTTCGTTCGATGATTTTCCCAGCTCGAACCTCCATTATAGTTTGAGGATGCCGGAGGGTATAGTAAAACCCAGAAAATTGCCATGTGAATTTGGAGACTATGACGATTATACTCCTTCATAGGGGGCCGAATTCAGTCGAGCCTTTCTTGAGGTGAAAAGAGAGTCGAGCCTCGCGTTACCATGATACCATTTTACCATGGTGGTTTTTGAAAATGAATGGAGATTTCATTTCATGGAATATGTGATCAACTATTGGCTGAAATTGGATGAACATATCATATCCTACCTGTCTGATGGGCTTGTCCCCAGAAAATTTTAATAACCTCCACCCCAATTCCCAGCCTGCTTGTGACCTTTGATCACATGTGCTTCATCCAACACAGCACGGTACCATTTCACACTGCCCAGTCCAGTGCTGCTGTCTTTCAACTCTGAACGCACGATATCCTCGGTGGCGGAATGCACGGCCTCTGGGGTCACCATCGCTTTGTCACCACCACTGGGGGTCACGCAAACCATCATCTCCAATGGGGGTTTATAATGGTTTATATGCCGATTTTATACCGCCCAAGGTTCAATGGTTCATTATTGAGCCTACTTCAGAACACCATGTTTTTACTACTTTATTATTCTTGGTCTCAAACTACGGATTGTCTGGAATTTGTGGGGAAGTCTTGCTGTGATTGGGTGTCAGAATTGGTGGAAATTTTGCTCCTGGTAGTGTCCCTTTAAGATTCCTTTAAGATTCCTTTAGGATCTTGGTTTACGCTACGTAAAACCACAAAAGTTGAATGCAAGATCCACCTTGCTGACCTCAAAGATGGCCATAGCCATTGGTCACCAACTAAACATACTCACAATAACCAAGTAATTCACTGCTAAACATACCCTCCGGTAAACATGGCAATGCAACATCTTCAATTTATAGACGATTTTCCGTTCAAACCTCCATTTATCTCTGCTTATAAGGTGCTTTGGACTTTCCCATTGTAACGGTACCGGAGCTAGCCAATCCGACTTTTTGGAGAGGCACCTACTAATCTACTACGCATGATATACAGGGTTTACCCAATCAATGCCAAATGTGGCAAAATTAATTCTAAATCAAGCATATAAATAATATGCGGTTTATATTGTGTCTTCATCCCGTCCAAACTTTTCTTATGTTTGCTGCTTAAGCGACACAAGAATATCCACCCGGTCACAGCTTTACGTATTATTGGCTGTATCCCCAGTTGGTTACGCTGTGAAGATCATAGACTATCTCCAAAGTACCTAACCCGTGTTAGAGCATGAACCACATTTTAAAACCATATCCCGAAACATTAATTGGATTAAATACCTTTCAATGGTTACCGGGTTTTTACTGCCTAGTACGGTATATATCATGAAACCATAAATGCTGCACTAAAACACGCATGTCTGGATATTAGATCCTTAATTACTGTATATTATGTTTAATGGGTTTCAAGCCATCAACCATGATTATCCCATATTATCCCGTTATCCACTAATATGTCCATTTCCATTCTGATCCCGTTTTTGTCCCATGAATACTGTGCATCATGCCATCGCCGGGACCACATTCGATATGGCCCCAGAAAGGCGCCCAGCCGCGTAGGTGGTCAAGGTCACATCGTGCAACAGAAAACTTCCAGCTGAACGGTCTCCTTAGAGATCCAAATCCTCCTAGCGTTGTGGAGCTGTTTTTTTTAAATCAATTTTTTGCGTCAGACCTTTTCTGGGCTGTCCGCGGCACTGTGGGTTCATGATGATTTATGGACCTTTTTTAACTAGGGGGCATCACCGTGTTGCGAATCCTACCATTTTCATGACGATGAACCGTTCTAGCTTTGTTGGGGTTCAGGAGAAGTTGGATACAATGAGAATGGTGGTATACAGTAATCAAAAGCATGTGGACTTGACAAACATGTGGACTTGACGAATCAATGTCTTACATCAAGGACAGGGGAGGTATGGAATTAAATCTTGACTGATACCATTATATTAACCACTGGCTTGATTGTAGAGCAACTTTCACCCCAACATGTGTTCCTCGCCACCCAAAGTGTAGGAATATAATCTATCACCTCATGAAAAAACGTTACTTCTGGCAAGCCACATTAAAAAAAGGACAAAGGACACCGTTTCTGGCCACAAACCATGGGAGCTTTGGACCAGAACGTCACCAGTCGGGATACCCGACTGATCTAATGGTGATGGAACATGAAAAATATGAAAAACACGAATCAAACCAGGAACATCATGACATTATCATGACATTATCTATCATCTTCTTTTGGTTTACGATTTCCACATGTTTACAATTACAATACACCTTTGCTGTTTGTTGAAACCAGGCGCCATAAAAAAATCTCAGTTGCCACCAAGCATCGGTCTTTCCCATGATAGGTACGCGTCTTGAGCCCAGGCGCGTGTAATTTCAGCTGTTCCGACCAGTTGTAAAGCACCGACAGCGGGCAAACCACCAAGTTTTGACCTGACACGGGGGCTGTACTGCTTGGAGATCCTTGGGATCCCCCGAGGAGTACCCAGTACTGTTAACTTTCGTAATTCATGGGGGGTGCTTGTATTTAAGGTCGGGGGGTTGTGCATAAGGCTAGGTAGTGTCGACGGTCATTGAAATTGGTATGGGGGCTACACCGACCTTGATAACGAAGTTGAACACGAGATAAAGATCACAATTAACCCCACTGGGCAATGCTTGCCAGCTTGCCCATGTAGAACTTATGGTCGGATCGTTGTATTGATTTATATTTGGTACATGTTCCCATGTTCAGTAAGACGCTGTCTCTCAGCTTGTTTTTTGTTCCTGTAGGCCCTGGGCGTGTCTCGCATTTGTTGATTCTCATCCAGTTGAAGTCCCACAAATCTTATTATGTGCACGGTGCCCCACAGCACAAAAATGTGAGAGGCCAAGTCGATCTTACAAAAACAAACCATCAATTTGTATGATTTTTCCCACTAAAAAATCAATCATTGAATTAAAATTGGACAGCTGTGAAAATCTAGTTGTGGAAGGTGGCGGGGTTGTCTTTAAGGTTTGCCCCCGAAATAAGGTGCATGCAGTATGCAAAATTCATAAGATCAAATGTAGGGGATTCTTGGCTGAAGAGAGGGTTGCGAAGACAGGGTTGCGCAATTAATTTCGGGACACGGCCAAGAGTTCAGTTAATTTTTTTCATTTGTTTCTTCTATTTTATTTCAGTACAGTTTTACTGTCTTTTTTTTGCAGCCAGAATCCTGTGCCTTGCCGGCTGCTCACAAAAGGTAGTCTTTAACAAAGGCCCGCCGCAGGCGACATTTTTGAGCATAGGATCGTCGCCCAGGAAGCATTAATTCCATCAATCTGAAAGCAATGAAAAAACAAACAATAAATAGATGTATTGTGTTTTCCTTGTTTTCAATTCTTCTAGTTTTTTTTTAATTCTGTTCAGTTTTTCATTTATTTCCTTTTTGCGTTTTCATTCTATGTTTTTCTCTTGTTTATGTTTTCTGTGTGTTTTTTTTTGTCTCCGCAAAATCCTTAAATTCAAAGGCTGGCCTTGAATTTAAGGAAATTCGACTTTTTCCCATGTTTCTTTTTTCAAAAAAAAATGAAATTTGATCTTTTTGCAAAATCCACCGTTTTTGATTTTTTACACAAGGAATTTTCCAATAAAAACACTGAAATAAACTTTTTAAATATGTTTTTCCTGCAACATATAATTGTGGGAAAAGTCAAAATTCTTTGAATTCAACGCCGGCCAGTAAGATTAAGGAAATAAGGAAAATACAATAACAAATATATAATGAAAAAACACACAAGCAAAAAAAAAATACATTAGAACCATTTCCAAAAAAAAACAAGAAAGAAACAAAAAATGGAAAGGTAAAGAAAATCCAAAATATAAAGAAAACAAAAACAACAGAAAAAAAAATACAAAAAAAAAACGAAAAAAAGAAAAAAACGGAAAGAAAAAAAAACAACGCTAAAAAAAAGAAGAAAAAACGGAAAACAAAATCGGGAAAAAAAACGGAAAAAACATCGAGAAAAAAAACGGAAAAAAAAACGGAAAAAAAAAAACAAGTTGAAAAAAAAAAAACGAAAAAAAAAAAACGAAAAAATCGAGAAAAAAATTGAAAAACAAAAAAAACGACCAAAAAAAAAGGCGAACAAAAAAAAACGAAAAAAAAAAAACGAAAAAAAACAAAAAAAAATCTTATTTCAGGCAAAAATACCTTAAATTCAGCCCTAGGGTTGAATTTAAGGATGCTGTGATGACTTTGGCCTATATTTTTGCTCCAAAATATGAGAAATATTGGTTTTGGAGTGGATTTTGTAGGCCAAATTTCTTTTTTTGGCAAAGTAATTTTGATATTTTTTCATTGTTTTGGGCTTTTTGTTTGCAATTCACTATGCCAAAGTCATCACAGCATCCTTAAATTCAACCCTAGGGCTGAATTTAAGGTATTTTTGCCTGAAGTAAGATTTTTTTTCGCCCTTTTTTTTTGATTTTTTTTTTCGATTTTTTTTGTTTGTTTTTTCGATTCTTGTTCTCGATTTTTTTCGTTTTTTGTTTTTTCGATTTGTTTTTCTCGATTTTCTTCGTTTTTTTTTTTTTTTTCGCGTTTTTTTTTTTTCGATTTGTTTTTCTCGATTTTCTTCGTTTTTTTTTTTTCGCTTTTTTTTTTTTTTCGATTTTTCTCGATGTTTTTCGTTTTTTTTTCGATTTTTTTTCATGTTTTTTTTTTGATTTCTTTTTTTTTTCCGCGTTGTTTTTTTTCTTTTTCCGATTTTTTTTTCTCCATGTTCTTTTTTTTTTGGTCGTGAACCTAGGGAATGAAGAGGGGAGGAAGGAACGAGGGTGATTTTTTTTTATTTTTTCGTTGTTTTTTCTTTGCTTTCATTTCGTTTGTTATGTTGTTGTTTTTTTGTGTTTTTTCCTTTTGTTTTCCTTTTTTTCCTTTTTTTTCTCCGTTTTTTCCTTTTTTTTCATCTATTTTTTTCGTATGTTTTTTTTCGTTGTTTTTTTCTTTTCCCGTTTTTGTTTCCTGTTTTTTCTTTTTTGTTCGTTCCTTTTTTTCTCTTTCTTTTCATTTTTTGTTCCATTTATTTGTTTCCGTTGTTTTTTTTTTTCGGCTTTTTGTTTTTTTACTCCTATTCGTGTTTTTTTTATTTTTTTGCTATTGTTTTTTCCTTTTTTTCGTTCATTGGTTGTTTCTACGTACCTCGGTTTCCTTTACGTTTCTATATTTTTTCTTCGTTTTGTTACCAAATGCATGGTTCTCATGTTTTTTTTTGCCATGTTTTATTTGTATGTGTTTCTCATTATTTGTTTTTCTATTTTCCTTATTTCCTAGCTGAGGGGCTGGCCTAGAATGTAAGGAAATTTGACTTTTCCCACAACTCAAAAATGCCGCCTGCGGCGGGCCTTTGCTGAAACAAAAAAATGAGCAGCCTGCAAGGCTTCTGGCTGCAAACAATAAGAAAGTAAACGTCGATTTACATCAAAAAACAAAAAACAGTTAAAACAAAACTTGCATAATGAAACAAGATTTGACAAACAAAAGCGAAACAAACACTGAAGATCATTGAAGCATGTAAATTACTTCTCAATGGCCTTCTTGCCGGCAGCTCACCATGGTCATGGAACAAGTCCAGTAAGCTGTTGGAAAATATTGGAAATATTTGTTTTGGATAATTTCTTTAGGTGCCTGCATTCGGTTCTTTGTGACTCCTGTGGTCTTCTGCGACGACTTTATTTTGGCCGACACTGACACCATCTACTAGTTTTGTCACACAAAATCTTCACAAATTGAACCATGTGGATGGGTGCAATTACATGATTCAACACAAATTGCCTAAAACCCAGTGGAACTGGATGTCAAGCTAAAACTGTTGGTTTGCAAATATCCTAAAGCTTATTTCAAGTTCATCAGCCATTTGAAGGCAGCTGCATTGGCAAATGATTTAAGCAGTTTTGTTGCCAAAATGTATTGATATATATTCTTTGCTCAGTTTGTCCAGATGTGTATCACAGTGTTGCAAACCTTTCTCAAGCTGTCTCCGATTATATGTTTGCATCTTCACTTTGGGCCACCATGCTGATTTTCGAAGCACATGCTCATGCACGTGGTCCCGGTTTTATTTCAATTCCTTCAAATCAGAGTAGCGTTCATATCTTTCCTCACAAGCCCTTCTGCCATACCCGCATGGCTTATATACAACCCTAATACCTTAGCAGCAAGGAATTACGAAAGTTAACACCCAGTACCCTTAGATAAACTATATATTGTGGAAAATCCATGTCTTATAAAGAAAAGGATCTACAAAAGGTTGATGTTCCACATCTATGTTCGTTTACTGGGTGCCAAACCAAAATTGGAACATATGGGCGGTACAAATGGGGGCGATAATATTGAGCCATCCCATCCTCCCATGGCACCTGTACCACGACAAGAACGCTTCGCGTCGTCCATCTTGGCAAGCATCCTGAAGCTGCTGAGATTGAGAACCCAAAGGCAACAAAAACCAGAGCCCTCGGATCTTTTTCGGATTTTTGCGGTTCCATCCATTTTTTGGACGGGCCAGCAATGCACCATGGTCTTCTTACCAGGGCTTCAAACCCATTCAATCCTCACCTGCCACTGTAGTGAGACTTTTTCCATCTCCATCCAAGTCGTTCGTCCATTGTTTCAAGAGTCGCATTCTCTCTCGTCTCTATCTCTCTTTCTCTCATCGCGTTTCCCACATTTTAATTGCCAGGTTTTCGACTTGTTCCCTTGTTTCATGTGTTTCAGCATGTCTCATGTTTCATGTTTCTTCAATATCATTCTTCAACTTCAGTTTCATTTCAATGTTGAAGCATTTTTGATATCTGCCCTAGGTAACCCCCACCATCACCATCATTTCTTCCACCATCCCAGCAGCAGTGCGATGGTCGTGATGGTCTTCCCCAAGCCCATGTCATCCGCCAGGATCCCGCCGCGTGGCAGCTTGGGCGCCTGCCGGAAGGCCTGGGCGGGACCAGTAGGGCGGGCCATGGCAAGAAACGATGGGAAAACCCACCTATCAATGGAGGTGTTCATGGGCAAATCATCGGAAAATATGGGGAGAATCACTATGTGATTTTGTTTTTCATGATTATCATGGGAAATTCCGAGAAATATATATATATATATAAAGAAATATATAGAAATTTGTGGGGATATGCAGATATGCATGGCATCATGGGATAATTATGTCATATTATCACGTTGGGAAAATCTAAGCAGCTTAAGCTCCTTGGCTCCACGATTTCTCATTGGGAATGCCTATCGCTCCGAACCATCCGAACCATTAACATTTCTTCGGATGATTGATGGGGTCATTTTCAGAAATAATATTATATAAGATAACATCACGTCGTATAGTAAAATCTAAGGAGGCGGCTGTGCAATTTGTTTTTGATAACAAGACATAACAAGACCAATGTCTTGCACGTTGCAACCAGGTTTATGGCTGAAGCAACATCATCGCTTGATGGCATACCAGGGCCCTTGATGCCGAGATGCCGAATTCGTGGCCAAGTTCTTGTAGATCACATAGCCTGCAGAAGGTCGATGGTGACTGTCAACCAATTCTGTAGGTTCTGCATCAGGGCCAACGCGTTCCCAAACAAATGATGCAGGAACAACAATATTCCAGTGACATTCCAATGTACTCCAGACTACTTTGATAGCGTTCTACTATATTCCGCTATTTTCTATTCTCTGGTGGGCCCTTTATTGACGCATGTTGAAACCACCAGCCAAGAAACAAAATGGCCAATCACGACAAAACTACCAGTATATAATTATAATTACAATGCCGAAGGAAGGGATGTCAAAACTGATCCATGTCAAGCTTCAAACCCCGAACTTTGGCAGTCGCATTCATCTAAGAAACCACGAACACGACTATTTGGATCTATTTGGCACAGTTCCTCATCAGAGTTCAATAGATCACTGTACCGATTTTGCCCATTTTGTTTGGCCTCAAGCCTGTCATCTCATCCCAAGCACATTATATCAAATGGGATCAACCAACAGCACCAAATCGAGATCCATCCCGGCCATCCCCACCTTTGGACGTGTCTTTGGTCCAAAAAAATGTTTGCGCCGTCGACGTTTCCGTCTTCTTCTTCCCCTTGACCGCTGGAACAGCGCTGTCACCGCGGTCCACGACGTCGGCCAACTTTTCGGCAACGGTTAGGGATCTCTCCTGGGGCGCCATTGACATGTGCATCTTGTATGGTCAATGTTTAGCTGGCAAACAAATGATTAGTTGTTGGTTCGTCATAGATATATGCGACTGTGGTGAATCATGAACATTGAACATCATGGATGTTCATGGATGTCCTCCTAATTATTGCAAACATGGTATGATAATGTATTAATAGGTTTTGACCATCAACTTTTGGCACTTCGGCAACGCACGGTGAGGAAATTGGTATGAAAATGGCCTCGGCAAAAAAATAAAACACGTTTCCCAACTACTCGAATTGAAGTTAAATCCGCGATCATCTTGTCAACTTGGATGTCTTGTCAATTGGCCATGACATGGAAGTGTGGAAAGCGTCAAGCTCGGAATATGGCTGTTGATGTCGTAGCAACACATGGAAATAAAGGCTCCTGTATGAGGCCAAAGCCTGGAACTCAGCCCTGTATGTTTTTCCTCAGTAGACGTGAAATTGTCCTTTCCTTTTCCAAAGCGGAACATCTGACTATAGATATATCACAATACATCCTAGTTGTCCTAGTTCGCCTACACGTATGTATATATATATATATATAAAAAAATACACATACATACACACACACATATATATATATATATGAATATATATATATACATATAATATATATATATATATATATACATATGTATATATAGAATTATACATGATAGTTAACCAACGTTGCCTGTCTCGGTTGCCCCTTCGCAAGGACCCAAGCTGCTTGCTGTATCATCCAGTGCAAGGCTTTCAGCTGATGAGGATAAAGGTCCTGGGTGCTGTCAGTATGGGAAATTCCATGAAATTCCCAAACTCGCCTTGGAGGTTTTGATGCGAGAAAAACATAGAAAAGTCATGGAAAATATGGGAACCATCCAGTATAAAAGGGCAACTTTCTGGTGCCATGGAGCTGATTAGCAGAAGGTAACCACCAAACTTGGCACTTGAACACAGCAATGGATCAACATAACTGTGTCCGACTGTGTCCAGTCGGAAATTTCTGGTGCTCCAATTTTTGAGGGTTTCTATGCGGTGTATATATATAAATATGTATGTATGTATGTATGTATGAATGTATGTATGTATGTATGTATGTATGCATGTATGTATGGTAAGGTAAGGTCAGGTAAGGTAAGGTAAGGTAAGGTAAGGTAACGTAAGCATGTATGTATGGATGGATGGATGGATGGATGGAGGATGGATGCATGCATGCATGCATGTATGTATGTATGTATGCGTGTCTACAGAACATTTCAAGGACCGTCCAAATATGGCCAATGATTTCAACCTATCCACTGACCCCCTTGGGAGGAGGATGATAGCAAAGCGGTTGAAGGCTGGGGCCGGGGACAAACATCGCAAGGAGGGATTTGGAAAGAAACTGATAAAACAGCAACTTTGGATTTACCAAAAGTACATGAAATTACCAAGGGGACTTTGGTGACCTAGTCCTTTCTTGATCTCCTGCTGCTATTCCAAGACTTCTTGTCTAGCACGAACCTGCTGGCCACCAAGCTGCAGTTTTCAAACCCGCTGGCTGCTCCGCTAGGGGGCAACCTTCATACCCCCCAGGCTGTCGAAAGATCTCCTCCAATTCTCTTTCGATGATGTCCTGGTCCACATGGCAGAGGTGAAGGTGATGCAAAAAGGACTAGAAGCAACAACTGAGCATGAATGAACATATGGATTTGGAGATTGGAAGGACCATCCTGACAATTTTTGCAAGGTTTGTGTTTTCTTTCAGATTCCGCTGGAGATGTTGTCGGACTGATGAAAATGAATCAAGGCTGAACACCCCTGCCAACATACTTGACTTATTTTGTACGTATCTGCGCAATGACAAGCAACCCCGCATGAGTTGGGACGGGCCTTCTTCCACATGTCATGCCGCACAGTGGGACATACCATGACATACCGACATGGACGCATGCAAGTATCATTTATTTTCAAATGCTAACCCATGCAAACCCTATGGCCAACTGCTAGCCTTTCCAACCCTTGATAATCCTAGTACTGAAGGGAAACCATCCTCTGGTGCTGGTTGGTGGTTGAAGCACTCATATTATCCCACACAAGTTATTTTGGATCGATTTCCCTTCATCCCCAACAAATATTTATATATATATATATTATATATATATATGTATGTATATGTGGTTTTGGTTTGGCACAGGAAACATCAGGTCAATTATGATAATTATGAACGAGTTATCCTTGCCAGTAACTTGATGGTTATAGCTATCCTTACCCACTGGGCTCATGGGATAGTTATCCTAAGCATGCCAGTGGGTCGCTATTGTATCCAGATCACTGCCAGGGATCAGGGCCTGCATGCTGGGGCCCACTTTGGCGATCTTGGCGCCCTGGGAGGCTCATCCCACTCAGGAACCGATTCGTAGCTTTGTTAAAACCCATAGTTGGGACCCCACTGAATGGAGACTACAGTTTCAGACCTTAACAGTTATAACTGGCTTATAAGCCCACGTAAGTGATATATATATATAGTATATTCTATAGCCAACTAGTTGCAAGATCTATAATTAATAATCCTGCATATAACTGTTAAGGGCCATAAGTGTAACATTGTGTAACTAGGCGTATGAATCACTGACTAAAATTGATCATCTTACAGACCCTCCCACGGCCTGTTTGCCACCATTGATCTGCCGCCACATCTGAGGGGTTAACTCCTACGAGTCGACCGCACCTCAACCATCCAAGGTGCCCATGAAATGGCTGCTAAACCCACCACACTCCCTATATTTAGGTCTAAAACCCATTGATAGATGAATAGGTAATAACTAACAACTATATAATTATGTATACATAATTAAATATACACATGCCAAATCCCTACACTGTTAAGTTATCTCCGTGACCCAACATACTTAAACAATATAAAACAAAAAAACATCTCCATTCCAATTTGCAAGCAAAATCGGATTTGAAACACTTGCAGATTGGAAAACCAACGGATCCAGCCATGATGCGGAGCCGTCCTGCACGGGCGTCCCTTCCTCTGGCGCTTGCAGCACTTCCACCGCGCCGCGTGCTGCGCTGCAGTAGGTCCGCTGCAGCCGCTGCCCCAGGTCCCGCAGAATGCGCGGTGCGGAGGAAGAAGCGGAGCCGTTGGCATCGTTGGCTTGGCCGAAGATCTGAAGACCTGGGGGTGAGAGGTCACATTTCAATAGGGTTTAGATATTGTGGGTTTATGGTGATTAATTATAACTAATTAGAACTGTAGTTTGATGTAGTTGGATGGGGAATTTGAGATGTTACCCTCTGGTAATTGGACAGGTTGCTATGGAAAAAAACATCGCGAATAGGTAGAACATCTCTAAATTGACAATTTTCATGGCTATGTTAAATTACCACAGGGTAGTTATATAATTAAACAAGAACTGATACATAAAGAGTTGAAAACACACATTTGATTCAATGGTCATTTCAGGCACCTTAACTGGAGGTACTACAGATCCTGTACCACAAAATTTGGTGGCATATATACTATTCCCTTCTCGATGAATATTGACGGTAGGTACCTCCAATTTATGTGACTGGAGTGGCCACTGACTGTATGGAAATTGGACATCTGGTATACATCGTGAATATACCCCCATTGTTGACGGCCAAATGCTCCAAAGCCATGTCCCCCCAGTGATGTTTCTTGGTTCATGTTACCCCATCTAACATGGACATATCATGACATATCCCCCAAGCACCCTAGATGCTTGGCCTAGAAAACCTATCGTTGGGGCCCCATGGTTCGTTTGAGAACTAAAGGTCCACATGCAAGTGGGGAAATCCTATATACATATACATATACATATAGATACATACATACATACATACGTTACGTTACGTTACGTTACGTTACGTTACGTTACATTACATTACATACCATACCATACCATACCATACCATACCATACATACATTAACTACATTACATACATTACATTACATACATACATACATACATACATACATTTCATACATACATACATAAATACATACTTACTTACTTACATTAATTTACGTTATGTTATGTTACGTTACGTTACATTACATACATACATACATACATACATACATTTCATACATTCATACATTCATACATTACATACATTACATACATTACATACATTACATACATTACATACATTACATACATTACATGCATTACATACATTACATACATTACATATATTAGATACATTTCATACATTACATACATTACATACATACATACATACATACATACATAAATATATATATATATATAATAGTGATATATATATATATACATATGTAAATTACCGAAAGTGATACACATAATATGGTTATTTTCCCAAAGACTAGCTGGGATGCACCCAAAAGTGGGGAGGTGGTGGAAATCAGAACCCTCATGGGCATATGGGTTCCTTTGAAACTAGGGTACTACCCCCAAATTTGATAGCTGTTTCATCGTTCCTCGTTATTTATATGTATATATAAATATATGTATATAATACTGTATATATATATACGCGTGTGTGTGTGTTATATAATATTGTAATGATAATGTATTATGTATAAATTGCCATCTCCGAGTAGCCCTCCAAACCCAATATGCTATATAAGTCTTAATAAGACTATACATAAGGTGCTGGAGCATGTACCAACGCTTTCCACCAAAATTGCTCAAATGTTTGTCACTATAACAGGTGCATATATTGGAAAGCATTTCAAAAATGAGGATTTGACCACCCAAGATTTGTCAAAACATGTGGAAACCGCTGGTTTGGTCATGTTTGAGTCCGCTGTTTGACTCCGGTGATTTTTCTGCAGGCCAGCTGCGGACTGGGATGGAGTACATATTCCCCGAGCCTGCGGCTTTCAGCGGATCTGACTGGATGAAATCCTGCAAATTCAAAAGAGTTTCCAACCAAATTTTGAAAGGTTGACTTGAATATACATGGCCAATCTTAGATACCCTGCAAAAAATTAAATTCTTAGCCGGTTAGTAGATCCCATCGATACCAAAAGACTAGAGGATTAAACTATCCATCCAAGATTGACCTAGGGACCTAGTGCTGTAGCCAGATCCACCACTTTTCGTCCGCGACGACTGGCCTCTTGGGATGTGTCCCTCAACCCTCAACTGGCCAGTTCCATCGTCGAAGCGGTCCATCACCGGCGCCAGCAGACTGGCCATTTCTCGCGGAACGTGGCCGATCTGTTCGCCTCTGATATTCAGCACCTGCCCAGGATGTGCACACGTGATCCTTGTTTGAAATCGTGCCCAAACGTGTCAAAATCGTCAAATTGTTTTTTTTGCAAAAACATGCAATATTGCGATTCAGTTTGTTCCCAGCTTTTCCTGGTCGGGATTTTGTAGCTGAAACGACCCACCCAAGTAGAGATTCCAAACGTTTGATTACATCTGGAATCTGCAGTTATGGCCCTTAACAAGTTTCCGAGTTATAGGTTTCTAACTCCTGCAACTAAGGCTAAGTTATATCTATCACTTCAATGGGTATAAGTAATACATCTTAAAACTGTACTGTACCTGTATGGCATTGGGGTCGTAGATGTTGGCGGGCTGTCGTCGCAAGACCACCGACTCACGGTCTGAGACGACCCCGTCGTAGTGCTGAACACCGACAATTTTGCTGCCCAGGGCTAGGAACCTCACAGGGGCTGCTGAGTGCCTGAATTGGGCCATTTGGGGATGATTCCCTATACGGGCCATGATTCCAGAGTGGTGACATATGGCGATCTAAAAAAACAACATGCGGCATGCGGATAAAATCAAGAAGCATTGGGATATACCAATGCTACTTGCAGCCTTGATCAGCCTTGTATGTAAATGTAAACATACTAAACACACACACACACATATATATATATATATATTATATGCGGATATTCTTGAGTCCTATCGCCAAAAACTGCCTTTTCATCTAAGGGGCGTGCTTCGACTGTTGGAGCGCTTATCAGTTTGACGTCAATTTTCTGTCAGAATTCAAAGATGTTTTCAGGGACAAGGCTGAATAATTGATCACAGAACCTTTATGGCCTGGACAAACTTTGCTAACGGGCTGCTACAGCATGAAGCAGTTGCGCAGATCTCGAGTGTGCATATATCAAATACTCTCTTCGCATGACGGGCGTTTAATGGGATGATACGTTTATCACATTTTATCACGGCAAGGTAGGCAACTTTTCTGCACCTAGCCATGTCGATGATTGGTGGCTGCAACCATCCCACTATGTTGAAACCATGTTTGTTCAGCGTCCAAAAGCCTGTTCAGCGTAAGACACGAAAGCACCCGGGTTCGCTCTCGAATTGCTGGTAGTTGAATAATGTGAAAATCATCTGCTTGGTGGTTTCAAACCCTCTGAAAAATATGAAAGTCAGTTGGGGTTACTATTCCCAATATGTTGAAAAATAATGTTCCAAACCACCAACCAGTCCAACCAGTCATCTTTGTATCTGCAAGAGCGCCAACGCACACCGGGTGTGCATGAAAGGAAAGGATGCTGAAGGTGCAGTTCCATATCCCAACTTGAGGAGAACTCACGATGGTTTTTCCCAACAATCACCCCAACTGCCAAAAAAAATATATATATATATACACACACATATATATATATATAGTGGATTATACCTCAAACATCCATCAAACATTAAAACCATTGGAATCCCACAAGAAATTTCACCAAAAAACATCCAAAATCACCAGCCAATTTTCACCCAAGAAACCACCTCTCCTCCGCCACATCCTCCGGCGCCGGCTCCGCCTCCGGCACCGCCGTGTCGGGCGCGGTGTTGACGGTGACGGAGGACGCCTGGGATGCCCGGGACGACCCAAGGTTGACCCAGTGATGGTTGGGAGATGTTGGGATTGTTACTGGGGTAATGGTAATATATATATATATATGATATATGGTTAAATATATTGTTGGGGTTAATAAATCCACTATCAAATGGCAAACTAATCATCTACCCTCTGGTAAACTATCACCATTTTATAGCTGGGTAAATCCACTATATATTTCTATGGTCATTTTCAATAGTTTTTTGTATGTTTACCGGAGGGTATATGTTGATGAAATTGGGATGTTGGAATATATGTTAATAATATATGTTGGGATAATGTTGGGTTGTGAGATGTTAATCTTATAACCTTACCACCAACAATATCCAACAATCACAGCAATCACAGTTAGCTTAGCTTAACCATCTTGGGTCAACTTTGGGTCCGTATCTGTTCCGTAGCACTTTTTGGGGTCTGGCCTTGTTTTCCAATGCCGCACTTGCTTTTGATAGCTAAATTTAATGCTTTACCATGCAATGCCTACAAGTACCTCGTTCTCGGGGTGTTCCTACCTCGTCTTACAGCCTAATACTAATTATGATGTTTTCAACAAACCGGGGTACGCCCCGATACTACTCTCCATTTAACCAAATAAAAGCCGTCACTCAAATGAGGAAACACTTCAACTTTGATACCCCATCTTTAAAAGCCTCATACAGTAATCAGACTAGTTCATATCTTTCCGCATTTTCACCGAGCATCTACATTCTCCAGGCCAATGCGTCCCCAACACCAACAGAAACCAACATTAAACCACCAAGCTGGCAAACTTCAGTTCAACCAGGGTATCATTCATAAAATCATATGAAATCATACATAGATCCCATCAAAATAGCCAAACATTCACCTATTCACGAACCGTTGGCCAGTTGGTTTTGCCTAATCAGATCATTTCAAGTACAATATCATGCCCGGGTTGTGAATCTTCGCTCTACCCAGCTGGTTCACTGATTCTTGTTACTATCATAAGCATCCCATTCAAGTTATTTCAAGTTCCCCAGGTCCATCAAAATCATTCAAATTCCATGAAAATTCCGCATCTTTATTGCTCAAAACTACCTCCTCCAACTATGCATCCCGTGGCCAGATCTCCAAGGCACTCGAAAAGCCTCAGTGCTCAGCTCCAGCTCCGTCCGTGCGGCGGCGGCCTGCAGGCCGCTTGGCTCCTCCTGGGAGGAACAAATCCTCGGGCGGAAGGGGTGCCAGCTGTGGGACTTCTGGAAAAAAAGTTGCGGATCTTGTGTTTCAAAGCTCACTCGGCTTAATTGTTGGGTATAAATCATATGTATATTATATAATATATACATAAATATAATTCATATAATACCATGCTTAACTTTCTTTGAAGGCAAATGGGGTGTTCATGCTGTGGCGTCCATTTTATTGATTGAAAGTTAAACACCGTCCAACCTCTAAGTGTTTGACTTGTGAATTCCGTTCTACATGTACTATGTGAACTACGCATTCCAACTGGATCCAACTCAATACAAGGTTGTGGTGCCCCATAGCTTGTTGAGCTGTTTTTGAAAAATACAAGTGTATGGTGGATGACTATGGTATACTATGCTTCCTAATAGTAGATATACCCATAGTCAAAGAGGTTTTAATGGTTTTATAACGAACAACTTGGGAGCACCCCCTTCTATCTGGGCTTATCCATTGTTTATCCATGTTCACTCAATATCCAGTGATATCCCATGATATCTCCAATGTTCGGTTGCACAACTCTCCAATTCTTCGCCACCGCGTCACTCCACCGGCGCATCGGCTTCCGGCTGTTTCGACGTCACCCGGCGCCGCACCACGCGAGGCGGTACTGTTGGCGCAGGAGCAGCGCGGCTGCGTTTCCGAGCAGCCTTTGTCACGACCATGGCCCATCACCGGGGCCTGTACTGGGCAATCCAAATGTTTACTTCACTTGTGTTGGGCGAAAAAACTCATGGTTTCTGCATTAATGATGGATCAAAACCTACTTACCAAAAACCACATCACTGGGGGATAAACATCCATTTGCTATAGCTATTTTGATGTGAGCAGAAGGGTGCCAGGGTATTGACCCACAGCCACAGGGTTGCACATGGATAATGGACGGTAGCCACATGAAGCAAAGAGTGGAGAAATTGGATATCTTTCTGCCACTGACAACTAGCCACTCTTGATTCCACTTGAGTGGCACATGTTCAAGCTTTGGTAGGATTTTGGCCGATGATTACACTACTATAACTTCTAATCTACTGAATGCAGCCTTGTTGCAGAAGGTTCTGGACTGTTTTGACCGGACAAGAATTAATTAGCCGTCCAACATGGAGGTCATTTAGCTGTCCATGATGTAAACCTGTGGCATAAATCTAAGCCTTTCGCAAGTCTTTGCACGACTGGCGGCTCGATTTTGCCGCCTATACCCTACTGGTCCAAAAAACCTGCAGCAAGCAAAACATACATTTCAAACATGTGCAATTCAGATTCCCGTAATTAATGGAATCAATTTAATGAGTTTAATCTCGTGTCACGTGGGAAATGCCGTTTTGAACCATGAGATTTGGGGTACCCCACTGTACAGAGAGTTCTTCCCAACCACCTCCAACTGCACTGGTTTTGCATATAAGTCCGTGGTGCACCGCCTGATTTGTTTCATAGTGGTGCCCCCTATGTATTGTTGGTTTTTAACCCCTATGAATCGTACATGTATTTGCATACATATATATAATATATATATATATAGAATATGTGTATGTATTATATGTATACTGTGTATATATATATATACACACCATAAAGCATATTTACATAATGTAACAGTTAAACAACTTGGCTATCTGGGGGCCCACCTTGTAATGGCGGGTTTAACCCTGGCATACCCTGGCGTCATTAAAGGCATCAAAGACCAAAACCAGTGATGATCATATGACACAGTAGATTCAGTAGATTATGGCAACAAATCATGTAGATATGCATAGAAATGCATTATTATACATAATATATAAATGCATGTATAATCATGTATGTATGATGTATGTATGTATGTATGTATGTATGTATGTATGTATGTATGTATGTATGTATGTATGTATGTATGTATGTATGTATGTATGTATGTATGTATGTATGTATGTATGTATGTATGTATGTATGTATGTATAAGAATACATGGTCCATGGTTACCAACATGGCATTGAAATTGCCGAGGCAACTTCCTTGAACAGCAGGAGGCACCCCCCCCAGTTATGAACCAAACAATGAATAACGAATGCAGTAGTTCGAAATACCTGGTATCCGTAAACCAACTCACGACCTGGGGCACCTGTAACATCCTGTTGTGTAACAGTAGGCCATCTGCCGCCGCCTGAGACACCCTGACTTTCACTACCTCGGCCCCAAAGTACGCCAGGGTCGCTCCTGGCACATGTGGCCTTTGGAAGGGTCCAAATGTAAAGTACCAGGACTTATCTTGCATGCATGGGACGCAAATCATGGATACCCAGGAAACCTAGTGTGTCAGATAGTTGGCAGAATTTCCTCATGGCTATTTTGGGGTTGGTACGCAGTGGATTTGCGAAGATAGCTTGGCTAAATTTTTAACTATGACTTATGGGAGATACATCTATGGCTAGTATCATCAAATAAGTCATAGACACATCTATAGTCTACGGTCTATAGTGACATGCTGTTGCATGGTGGATATTAACCAACTTGCAACTCAGGGCACCACCTGGTATCCTTTGCCCTGAGGCCAACCAATACCTCCCAATCTGGTGGGTGTCCAGGGTGAACACAGCGATTGGATGCTCATTATCACCCGAAGAGTGCAAATAAATATGGGATGTCATTAAAATGATTTGAGATCATGAAATTCTGCAAAACCCTGGCAACCCTGGCCCTTGGGACCCAATCCCATTCGGTTATTGGCTGTTCCAAACACGTTAACACGCTCCTGTCCATCCCCCGGCGACTAAGCCAGGACCAACCTGCAACATGGGCTCCATTGACCCACATGCCCGGCATGGGATATGTATTGACCATGCGCAAAATCCCAATTCATTACCTAAATGTAGGCAACTTAAGTACAAATATGTGATATACCTAATATATCATATACATATATCCCAACATATTAACATGGAGCATACGGGAGATACAAATGGCCCAAAAACTGGCCGTAATAAAGAGTTGACGGGGATTGAGGGGGCCCATTGCGAGGATGGCTCAAAATTCAAGGAGCCCTACTTTGCCCATCATTGTCGGATAACTCCGGCAAACTTTTATAGGGAGTTAACAGGGATATTACATGTTTTTGATATTGGTTGATTATCTTGATCTTGATATTAAGCAACGATAGTCTGCTGTTTGAGCCACTCATCCGGACACATACCTTTGCTCTCTTGGATTGTCATCATAAATCATCCTAAAATGGCATGACAAGTTTACAAAACACATTGCAATTGAAACTAGTGTTTGGCTGTTCTCTGCACAGTATGCGTGCGTGACTGTGTGTCAGTGTGTGTGTGTGTGTAACATCTAAATAGATGTAAAATTTCTTCCTTTTTCTTCCTTCTGTCCTCTCCCTTTTCAATAACGCAGGGGGTCGCCGGGGTCCCGGGGAGGTCGGTGACCAACGAAGACACCCCCCCGGGACCCGTGTAAACGTACCTGCGATCTAATTTAGGTCTAACTGTTTAGGCTGGTTTGCATGTTACAGGACTCAGTTCCTGACGCATTCTTGTCTAGTGTGATACCTATGGTGGCTCCAACAAGGTGCCATAGGGCCAATTGAGGCAACCCCTTTGTGGGTTACTGTGGACTGACCGGATTTCTGAATTCACACTTTTCGATTAGTAATTCGTTTAAGTAAAGTGAAACAGTTGGCCTTTCGGCTTCTCAGCCTTTTTGAGATGTCCCGCTTTTCCGGCTGTCCCTTGAAATCCTTTGGGAAATGCTTTCTTTACGGAGTGAAGCCGTTCCGAACAGCCAAAAACTTCATTTTCACTGCTGCAGCTTCAGCTTTTGAAGTACAACCTGACATGTGCGACAGAAGGCAACAGGCATGTCCTCTTCCTGCAGGTGTGGTTTCTTTGGTTTCTGGTGAGGTTGAACATATTGTGCACCTAATTCATTGGAATTTGCATAGCTGTTACATGCCCTCGTGGCTGACCTGACTACTGTCCCAGCAAGGGAATAACGCACGACCTCTAGGAATTTAAGAACTGAGTTCTTTTTAGTTTATATAATTGTTTTGGTTTTTTCACTTGTCACCAACTGGTCCCCCATTTGGTCCCTAATTCTCCCCGCGTGCTTCTCCGCTCCGTAATGTGTCGTGGGGTTTAGGTGTGTGCTCTGTTTTTGGTCAGGTCCGTTTCGCCGCGTAGGTTTGTTCTGGAGGTCCGTTCGTTCCCTTCCCCCTCCCTGCGCTGTTCTGTTTTTTTGCCCGTCGTTGTGTCCGCTTTTTTCTTCCTTTTGCCTTTCAGGGTTGACCCGGCTCCGGCCGGGTGTGTGTGTGTGTGTAACATCTAAATAGATGTAAAATTTATTCCTTTTTCTTCCTTCTGTCCTCTCCCTTTTTAATAGCGCAGGGGTCAACGAAGACACCCCCCCGGGACCCGTGTAAACGTACCTGCGATCTAATTTAGGTCTAACTGTTTAGGCTGGTTTGCATGTTACAGGACTCAGTTCCTGACGGATCTATTCAAATAGTGTGTGTGGCTACGTGTGAAGATTATTTTGTGTGCTACTTGTGCCAGGTACGAAAACGAGTAGATAGATCTGGAATGCTTCCTCTCCGACACCATTGATTCGTTCAGGAAACGTTTACAGGACAAGATAGTTTGAAATGTCAAGCCTGGATTAGAGGGTTCCCCAAATTGTGATGTCATCTGCGACTTTTCAATGGTAATGGTGGCCCCCTTTATTCACAGCCCAATCTCCTCATCGATCGTGTTCTAAATGACTAGTCAAACTGGTATCCCCCAACAAAAATACATGGAATTGGTGGGTTTACTGCTAAATCCATAGGTTAACACTATGCCGCATGCCCCGTATATTCTCTCTGATTCCGCACCCAACTTGTTACACCTATAGCAGCCCCACCATGGGCCAACTTGGTTTCATCGATAGCCTCCAGCACACGAAGTCCCTTCAAAGGTCCACTGGAAAACCCCGAAGCTGCAGCTGTTTCGGGCCTGGCAGGTCATCTGCAAATTTGAACAATGGCCATGTTGCCGCGGTTGTGAATGCTCCCAACACCCCTACGTTTCAAGGGGAAATAAATGGAAACTTGGTAGATAAAGATGTAAGCTGGCATTTTTCCCCAAAAAATGGACAGCATTTACCAATTTCGTTGCACCCCTGCTTTCGCCGCAAAAATAAAACACCAAAACGGTGAAGGTGATCTTTGACCTTTATCCCCTGTCATGGCCTTGAGACGCACCAGAAACAACGGATGGCAGCATATGAAGCAATCAAAGAACATATTATAGCCATGTGTATCATTGTGTATCCTGCATTCAATAAAACTAATAACATCGAATAACATCAAAGTTACAGTAAGTTTCAATCAAGTTTACCCAAACTTTACTCAGTTACTAAGTTACACCCCAATCTCATATCATCCCATCTCAGCTGGAAAAAAACTATGATAAACCTACACCCAGTTCACCAGTTGGTTGTTTATCCGGCATGTCAGATCTGTTTCCTACAAAAACAATTACCAATAATCCACCATTTAGACAGTGGAAAATCCACCATTTAGTTCCATGATTTTCCGAATTTTCCCAGCTAGAAACCTCCAGTGGTCTCCAGTTAGTTCGGGGACTTCCCCCTGCGTTCTAGCCGGGTTCGTCCGAACCTGGGGATGCTGATCAAGGCCACCATGATTGCTAGGTCTTTTCGGCATTGCATAACGCCATATCTAATATATTTTGATATCATATAATTACTGTATACTGTTGGTTGCATATCTCATTTTAATTTGTTTTATCTACAGCGTCAGATACGTTCCCTATTGCCTACACAATTGGACAAATCCCATTGCCATAATTTCCTCATCCCCATGGTCGCTGGTCACCCTCCCGTCGCCTTGGTTGCGCGCCGGGAGCATGGCGTCTCAGGGTGGCCGGCCCCGCGCGAGAGCCATTGCCTCCATAGAGTCATGGAGGGCCCGTTGCGCCAGCTGTATACAAAAGGATGTTCCTAGCGGAAGATGTTTTGACACACGCACATGTATATATATATATAATGTCTACCTCTGATTTATAAACCTGGGGCCCCCCCCCCTCTTTTACCTCAAATAAAGTTAAAAACTTGTTTGTATGTATTGGTTTTAAATTACCACAATTTAAAACGAATACATAAACAAAATTTCAAAAAAAACAGGAATCCAACAATTGTTTTAGTATTGGTTTAGTATTCCCAACAATTGTTTTAGTATTGGTTTAGTATTCATCTCATGGATTTAGTATTGATTTAGTATTCATGCCATGGATTTAGTATTGATTTAGTATTCATGTCATGGATTTAGTATTGATTTAGTATTGATTTAGTATTCATGTCATGGATTCAGTATTGATCTAGTATTCATATCATGAATTTAGTATTGATTTAGTATTCATGTCATGGATTTAGTGTTGATCTAGTACTCATGTCATGGATTTAGTATTGATTTAGTATTCATGTCATGGATTTAGTATTGATTTAGTATTGGTTTAGTATTCATCTCATGGATTTAGTATTGATTTAGTATTCATGCCATGGATTTAGTATTGATTTAGTATTCATGTCATGGATTTAGTATTGATTTAGTATTGGTTTAGTATTCATCCCATGGATTTAGTATTGATTTAGTATTCATGCCATGGATTTAGTATTGATTTAGTATTCATGTCATGGATTCAGTATTGATCTAGTATTCATGTCATGGATTTAGTATTGATTTAGTATTCATGTCATGGATTTAGTATTGATCTAGTACTCATGTCATGGATTTAGTATTGATTTAGTATTCATGTCATGGATCTGCGCAAATCTGGGTTTAGGGACAAAAACAATTAGCTTTATTCAGGGTCAAACTCTAATTAGTGCCAAGGCACCTCATGGGGGGTACCCTTGACGAGTTGATTTGGGATTGATTTTGGATAATTTTGAATAAAGGTTTTGAATAGAAAAGAGCAACCATTATTTTTTGAAAATTTGAAGATATCAAGGTAAGATCTAATGAGCTGGCAATATGAATTAGTACATGAAAGCCACCTCAAATAAAGCATGGAGATTTTTTTTGCAGCCACATCTGGGCAAATCTGAGTTTATGGACACTTTTTTTCACCCCCATCTGGTCAAATCTGGGTTTATGGACATTTTTTTTAACCCCAATCTGGTCAAATCTGGGTTTATGGACAATTTTTTTCACCCCCATCTTGGCAAATCTGGGGTTGGGGCCCAAAAAATTTAGCTTTATTCAGGGTTAGTTTACAAATCGTAGGTCAACATTATATATGCAAACATATGTGCTAGTACTAGATCTATATCTATATCATTCTATATCTATAGTCTATATCTATAATATATATACAGTATAGATTATATATATATAGTTGTCTATTGTATATATATATATATAATTATAATTATATACATATCACCACATATCTGTATATTTAACTCTACAGTTTATCAATGTTTATCATATGTATGGCAAAACCATGGTATTAAACTGCCTGTTCCAACGTTGACTTTGCCGAGATAAGGATGCCCTGTCCAGATCTCCGCGCCTTTCTGCAGTACATGGGAGCTGAGCCACTGCCCAGCTTCCGAAAGCTGCAGCAAATCTAGGCCAGTTTCAACCTGTCGCTGGCCGCCTAAGGCCCTCCAGAAAACAAATCTTAGGGTAAACAGGTGTTTACAAGAAACAATCCAGGATGTTGTGGATTGCAAATGATTTTTGAAGTTGTGATTTGCAGGTGTACAATTCTTCTACCCCTTTTTGGGGTTGCTATACTCCTCAAGTGGGCGCTTTAATGCCAGTCATGCTATTATGAGGATGCGTCCTAATCAGAACTGCAAAAACGGATAGGGCCCGGATAGGGGCTCCTTCATGTGGATCTGAGAGATGGCGTTGACCACATAAGTCTGTCATCATTCACCCAATTAGTTGCCACGCACTCACCCACAAAGAATATGTATATATATATATATCATATCCATTCTCTTCTGCACATTGCACATGTGCATATATATATATATATACATACACAGTATGTATATGCACATAGAAAAAAATAACATACATAAATATGTATGGGCGTGTGCCATACGCATATGTGATTGTCTTATATATCAAAGTTCTGATCCTATCGTGGACGCTCATCCCAAATCACCAGCCGCCAACAGTAGGGCCTTTTATTGACACCAAGACTCGGGGTTTCTGTTGCTGAAAAAATGGCGGCTACTCGATAGTTGGAGGTTTCCGAAGTCATGGAGCTACCCCAATAACTCGATGGTTTAGTTCAGGGAAAATCGAACTATAATGGATGATTTATGATGATTTGGGGGTATAATCAACTGGTTAGTTATCATCATCCCCAAATTTATCATCATCATGGCAAATCTTAGATACCCTGCAAACAAAAACTTAGTTGGTTAGTAGACAATCCCATTGATACCAAAGACATCCAAAGACTAAATGGATTAACTATCCATCTAAGATTGACCTAGCCATCCCCAACAATTTGATTGAGGATCTTGGGCTTTACCTTGGAGCCAAGGCCGTCTGCGGCGCCAAGAAACCCCGAGGCCATGCAGCAGTTGCACCACATCTTCTGTGGCCACATTTCCACTGACACCTCAGCTGGGGAAAATGCGGAAACATGTATAAGATCAAACAAACAATGAACATGGAGCAAACCGTATACTTACCACACAGAATAAACAATCATCAGTGCACTTCTGAAAGAACTGATCTTCAACATATCAGAGAATAGTAAAATATCCAAAACGTGGTTTCTGCAGATATTTTTTCCGTTTCATGAAGATTCAACCAGCCCTCCCAAAGGTAACCCCACCCAATACTAAGAGTTTAAGAGTTGATTAACCACCAACAACCACGTCTACAAGAACATACTGGACATATATTGGGAGGGTCACCGAACAGGGGATCCGTGGCGGCACCTGGTCCGGCAAAGGGGCAGCCCCCCACGCCCCCCACCGCCGCGTCCACTTTGGCGACGCCGAACTGCAAAGCCTCGTGGTTTCACGGTTTCGGGATTCCACCCGGAGTGATCGTTCGATATCACATTGGATTGGTTTAGGGAAAAAAGTGCGCGAATTGTTTTTACTACAATAGTAAACTATAGATAACTATAGTATTACATTTATCGGCAGCTAAATCAGTTTCTGGCAAATTACAGTTCATCCAATTCTTAAAATTGCCCCTGCAATTTTCTTCCATGCTCATTGTGGTAAGCATAGGGAGGCCTTGGAGTATGCCCGCGCTGAGCGCATGTCCTTCATGGGATTGTCACCGCAGTCATGGCCCAGTGCCCCCCGGTTATTTTTCTTGGTTTATAAACCCCATTAGCCCATCATCTAGCTTGATGCTATATATATATATATCACAATATTTTCTTATAATTATATATATATAGATAGTATATAGTTAATTATATGTATACATGTATGTGGGTATAGTATATGTAACTAATATATATATATATATAAATAATATTATATATATTATATTATATTATATTATATTATATTATATTAAATTATATTATATTATATTATATTAAATTATATTATAACATATAATATTATATTATATTACATTAAATATTTTATATTATCTTATATTATCTTATCTTATCTTATATTATATTATATTATCTGATATTATATTATATTATAATATATAATATTATATTATATTACATTAAATTATATATTGTATTATATTATATTATCTTATATTATCTTGTCTTATCTTATATTATATTATATTATCTGATATTATATTATATTATATTATTTACACACCAAAAACTACAGTTGCAACCCGCCAGCTTCAGGGCTTCGTTCATCATGCTCCAGGCCATCTGGTCAACTGCCGAGGAGCCGCCAGTGTATTGGCCACAGCCTGTGTCGGCTGCGGAGAATCCACGAAAATCCGGCTCCAAGTACGCGCTAATATACAGATGTACGGTGCACTTGCATAATATACATATATTGTATATAATACTCATTTATAAAAATAGATTTCTCTCTCTCTCTCTCTCTCTTCATCGCCATCTCATATAAACAATTATAGCACTTTCACCCTTTCTCTCTGCTTCTCCCGGCTCGCAAGACTTCATGTACGATTACCATAAATAATTAATATATACATAATATATATATATATGTATATGTCTGATGTAATATGTTTGAAGTGATCCCTTTCCGGAGATGCAGGGCAAACTTACCAGCCTTACTGTAGGACTGTTTTTTTTTTTTCCGGTGACAAGTAATCACAGCATCAACCTCGCCATGTTGATGTTCAAACCATGTTTTCTGGAGGTTACTCTCTTCTGATCAACCATTTAAAACGCGCCCAGCCGCTGACCGCCTGCCCGTAGGTGTCGTGAAAGTGGACGCCCACCTTCTCCATAGGAACGCCTGAACCTCACAATCGTTCCCAAAGGACTCTTCCCAGGGATGGAAACTGTCCTAAGATCCTTTCCATTGGGCTTTCCATGGGGGTACCCCAATAGCTGGTTTATTTCATGGAAAATCCATCTATAAATCGATGATAATTGGGCACCCCCGTAGGACCAAATCATTGCTGATGAGATTCCCTATTGCCAAGATCTTCTGTTGCTTCAACATCGTCATGTTTGATCCTGTTTGCAATGATTTGCCTTGTTTTTCTATTTTTTGATTAAGCCGTTAAAACCATATTGTTTTTGTGGGTAGCTACCTGGATGCCGTTGCTAATCTTAGATATACCCTGCTAAAAAATGGCAAAACCATGACCCAAATCAATTTCACCATGTTTTTTCACTGGTTGAATCCAAGTTTTCCTGCTCGTTCCTAAAGATGCGTTTTTATCACCGATATCTCTGGGTAGTCTCACCTGGCATAAATAAAAAAAAAAAACAAGCAGATTTTCTGGGCCGGCAATGCATTGGCAGTGTTAAGGTGCAAACCAAAATGCCGGTTATTATACTATTCCATGTTCATTCATTAGTCACTAGTCAGACAATTTCATGAGCTCGAGGTGTGAGGTCGTCAAGACTCCATCCCCCAACCAGTTAGGTCGCTAACCTCCAAAAAACATAGCCAATCATGATGTATGAAAACATTGTGGCTTCTATATATATATATATTGATTATGCATATTGTATGTGGGTGAAAATAGATCATGATATATAAAATATAACCATTATTATTTATTTTATTAGTAATTATTGATATTACTTGTATTATTTCTATATTGAACACCGAAAAAAACAACAACTAACCACCAACCATCATGTATCAATCTCTCTAAATTATTCATATGCATATATGTATATATATATATGTAAACACCATATGTCACATTTCAACATATTTCACATGGTTAAACCCTTGATGGTTGTTCCATTCCATGTTTACCCCATGGTTAACCAATCACCTATTCATATGGTAAACCAAAAAAACACATGTACCAACCATTTGGGGCTCATGTTCAATCATAAAACTCTATATTGGGGATGGTTCATTACTCACTTTACTACATTAATGTTATTTTATCAGTAAACCATCCCTAATTCGCCAAAAAAAATGTATAAACCATCTATTGCTTTACTAACATTACTAAATAAATATACTAAAATGTATGCTAAATATATCATCATTGCATTTATTGCCATATAATGTGGGTAATACAAGAATAAACCCCCAACTCACCATAAATAGATGGTATAAACCATTCCCACATGGGTGGTTTACTATTGTTTTCCTCACATTATAGGACAAATCTTGCTTTATATAAAGGATTACCAACATTGTATTACCACTTGCCAACAATATACATCCCCAAATCGCCAAAAACCACCAATACAATCACCAAAGTATTTTCACATTATATAAATTAACATATATTCAGCAATAAAATCATCAAATAAATCACCATTCATGTTATGGGTGATATATTTGATGACTCTATTGTGGTTGATATCCAACTAATCCATTGTTCATAGAAATGAATCTATTGTTCGTATTCTATTCAGTCTACAAGTCATTAAAAAAACATAATAAATCTGGATTGCTAATTAATTAATGAATGAATTAATTATATAATTAATCTATAGTTCCAAGATAATTAATCTGTATTTCCGGAATGTTCATCACTGAACCCACAAAATCACCACCCCGCGCGGTCCGTTCAGCGCCTTCCAAGGCCTCTAGGAGCCTCCAAACGGACGCCGCGGTGCCCGTGCCGATGGTGTCCTCGGAGGTGCTAGGGGTATATGACATATGGGGAATGTGGATATATAGGAAGAATACATTGATAACACACACATATATATATATATACAGACATACTGTGTATGGATCTATCTATCATGTCTATCTGTCTGTCTGTCTGTCTTTCTGTCTGTCTGTCTGTCTATATATATATATATCATAGATAGGTACATGGATACCTGTATGCACACACGTGTATTCGTACATACATACATATATACATAGATGCTGCTGTAATGTAACATAGCAGTGAACATGGAGATTTTCGGCAGCTATGCGAAAATGACCAAACGGTAGATATGTACAAGTATATAGCTAATATAGCGAGCCCAGGAACAATGGAAATGATAATCCGTAATCCTGCAAAAATTGACATGTACTTGTACGGTTCTAGCTATTTTGGGGCTGCTATCCATGAATCAATGATCAACTATGTGGATAAATTGGCATACATGATCCGGTGCATGATCGGATACGATGGGATTGGACCTCAACTAGAAATATGGAATAACATTTTACATAGTTAACAAAACGATAAACATAAGAGCAATGAGTGACAAACATAGTGGAGGAAGCCAATTATATATGAGCATTAAAGGTTGTTATTTAGCAAGGTTGATGCACCTCTTCAGGAACAAGTAAGTTCAACTCCACCAAGACACATGTCAAAAATTCGATATTGCCGCCAATGGAGATTTTGTTTGAGACATAGGAGAAAGCCAACAAATATTTTACACAATATGCGTGCTTTGTTAAAAAACTATAGGACTATCATGGACTATCACACTCACAGGACTCACTGGGCTGATCTTCCTCTAACAATCGGAACAGTCATGATTCGGGTGCTGAAATTGGTGGTGCCCCGTTCTTTAGCTCAGCTGGTTAAAAAAACACTGGCTTAACTAAGACTTATCGTGGTTATACCTATGGAAACTAAAGCTCATTGAAAAACATAGGCAATTGGAATTACATATTATTATATATATATACACATATTGAGCAAAGACATATATTATTATATATATATATATTCTTATATGTATATGTAATATCCTCTAATCTTATAACTGGGGCCACTACCTTGTAGATCACCGGCGGATCGACACCAAAATAACCACCCCGCTGCTGAAGTTGAGCTTCGCAAACCACCACCTCCTCGCAGCCGTCCTCGAGCAAGCGACATGCCACCTGGACGCCGGGTAACTGGAAGATGAGGCCAACAACTTCACAATGAACTGGGGAAAATTCATGGAACATGGATGATCTTGGTATATCTTGGTACTTTCTGGGTCAAACATCTTCCGTGCAGGACCCAAATCAACAACATACTGTTGATGTCAAGCCCCAAATCACCAAGTCTATATCTCTCTCTCCAGCGCCATCAGTTCAGTCCCTGATGTACAGGTGGTGTGAGGCAAGGCCGGCCACTGCATTCAGCAAGAACCACCCAAGTTGGTAAGCTCTCGCATCAATCGCATGGCCCACCATACAGGAGCCAATGAAACTTCACAAACCGTGGATTTGGAGTACAGAACCGGGGAAAAAGCAGGAAGGCCATCCCACAGATGGTCAAAATGTACATTCACATCAGCTAAAGCAAGCACCAAGCACCTGCAGTGAAAGGTGTTCGGTTGACCCCAACTATTGACACAAAACTCTAAAGCTCACAGAAAACCTCGGATGTCAATGGATGCCAGAACATTGCCCGATCGCCAACCCACATAGCGGTCCAACTCGCAAACCAGCCACTGTGTTGAAGATGTTGCAGTATATATATATATACTCTGCATACATCACGAAAATACTATACATCCAAACAAAAGCGAAAGACATGGATAGAAAATCAATGATTACTGTAATCATTCTGTAATGAATAAAAATATTGACAAAGTAATTATGGAAGTATATATATATATATAAATAAATCATAAAGCCGCTCAACATATCTAAACTCTAAACATAATGTAATTACTTGCATTATACATGCATCCTGGTTGAACATCAGATCCGGTCGCTACCTGCGCCACTCGCTTGGGCGACACTTCGCCTTTGTAGGGACAACCCAAACCTGAACGATTTCCCGCCGTGACAACCAACGGACGAGGGGATGGACACCTTTGGAAACTGGGGCCGGTCTGGTGTCAACTTCGTCTTTTGAATTCTTCTGCTGGGGTGATTTCAAGTGATTTCATCAAGCGATTTGTCATCAAGCGATTTCAAACAATTTCGCATGATTCACAATAAATTCTGTTGATTTGACACCAAAAAACATGATTTCAATATATTTCAAGCAAGGTCTAGTGATTCTAAACAATTTCACATGATTTCATAACATGATTTCAAACAAGGCCACATGATGTCAAGTAATTCCTAGTGAATTCCCACATTTTCACATGATTTTACCAACTGATTTCAACCAATTTCAAGTGATGTCAAGTGATTTCCACATGATTCATGCACCATGTAAATGTAAAGCTCATAAAATCTCAAGACGTGGAAACGACCGTCAGCCGGCAACGATAAGCCGGAAACACACGGAGATCGCAGCCCTCACAGCACCTGGGCGTTTCCAAGAATGGGGCTACCCCAAAATGGTTGGTTTGTACTGGAAAAAAAACATTGATGATAACTGGAGGTACCCCCATTTTGGGAAACCTCCATATTTCTATCAGCATTGTGGTTTATGTTGCAAAGAATCTCTCTCTCTCTCTCTCTCCCCCTCCATCGCCATCTATGCGTGCTGCATTGCTGGATGATACATGATGATACGTATTAAATAGATATTATTGAAATTGCATGCGCATGTGCAAGCCCTTCGGCCGCAACCATTTGCATCAAGTGACACTGCGCTTCTTTGGCTGCTTCTAACACGGCCTGCACAGCGGACAGGAGCAACAAATGCCATGAATATGTGCAGTTGATAATCTCAACCCATTCCAAGAGTATCCAACAGTATTGGCAGATTGGAATCATTATCCCAGACTGGACAGGATTTGGACACTTGACACCACCAAGAAAATATCTCAGGCAACAATCTGACGCCTGACTTGAAGGGCATGCAGCGTGGCTGCTTGATACCATACCATTTGCAGACCCAACAATACACCACGATCCATACACCCAATTTTACCATTAGGTTTGTGTGGTTTCAAAACCATTTACCCCAAAGGTTTACTGCCATGGATATTAATGGATTTATTCATTGACGACATGAGTTAGCATGCTTGGGGACCTGCATGATATCTTTCCCTTGAGGCTGTCCATAACTACAAGGGATCGTCTTGCTGATGTCAAAAGGGAGTGGAGAACAAGAACAAAAAATCCAACCACAACAGACGTGTTTATCGATGTTTCATTGGATTGGTTTACGGGAAAAATTACAGGACACCCCCATATTTCATTGCAAAAACAATGATTTCCGGCGAAGATTTTTCCATAGATCATCCCGCGGGGCAACACCCATGGAAACTCAGCCTTGGCGCGTTGCAAGTTCTCCTCAACGGTGCAATTCCTAGGGCTGGAAATTCACTCTGATTCGTCAAAAAAATCAAACACCTACAGTAGGTGACCTAATTACTATATAGAAAACATTAAACAACTACGGAAAATCAATTCGTCCAGCTGGCACTCTCAAGTATCATGAAATATCATCAACTCAACTCGGGCTTGTTGGCCTAGAGGCCTCAGCTCTCACTTCGCCAAGGACCAGCGAATGCAGCGACCCTTGCAGACCAGCATCGTATTTCTCTGCGCAAAGGTGTCACTGGCGGCCGCTAGGAGGGTGACCTCGCTACGAAGGGGGCCGATGGCCGTCACGATAGAGTATATATATATATATATGGATGTCATATAGGGGTTGCATGGGGCAATGGAAAGAAATCCCTATGCCAATGAGGACCTGAAACAATTCTCGACTACGGCTTGGGTGACTCAGAACATCTCAGAACGATATGATTCTACTCCTGAACCGAGATGGCTTGAAAACCGCATCCGTGATATCTGAAGCTACCCTAGGCGGACCCAAACCAGGTATAGTTGGATACACCTGCAATCCTGCAGTCGAACGATCAGCAGCAATAAAGAACTAGAGTCACAATTGAACGGTACCTGGACCGGACGAACAGTGAAACAACTGGCACAAGACTGAATTAAACATACTTGAACTAACAAAAACAAACCCAAAGTTAAACATGGATAATCCAATTCATTGATGATCTATCCGTTTCACACACACATGTATATATATATATAATCCACCGGATATGTAAATCCTTTGGAGATGGCGCCATGGATTTCCAGCCCCAGCAGAGTGGGACCCTGGTGACCTCCTTGGCACCAGCTGCCAGAGCTGCCTGGCACTGAAGCGATAGCCTCTGGTGATGGAAAACATGATGCAAATGGAAAATCATTTAATGATTGATACTCTAACCACGTTTTTGTTTTTACATAAATCATCTAGCTATGGGAAAATCTCCCATTTGCAGATGATTTATGATGATTTACCATAATTTACCTTTAAAACATGGTACTTTTCCAGCTTATCTAAAACATGTTGAAACATTATGAACAATATGTTGAATAAGCAGATGGTATTTTTGCGGGGGTCGTTGTTAGTCTTGTTGTTCCATGGAACCAATGGAAACACATGGACAATCAACCCTTGAAGTTGCTGGGCCCTGCAGCCAGACCTGTAGGCCCTTGGCATTGGGCACCAACACCGGGAAAACGCATCCAGGAGCATGTTCTTTTATGCCTTGGTTCAGGGAAAAAACATGAAAAAACCGTCTGGGTCTAAACTGGATTAAACTGGAGATACCTACATATGGAACGCCTGTTTAAGGCGCATGCAATGGACAGTTTTCAATGCTTGAAAGACAGGATGGGATTGTAGCTCCATTTTAGGTATTTTGGCTCAGCATAGCCCTGGCGACACAATGGACCCCGCAGAACCTCAATCAATTCTGGCAACCCATAGAAATCCATAGTGGGAAGCATCAGCCAACGAAAAAACTTACTACTAAACGATCAAATGGGTGATGGTTAACCAGTGAATTTCGGGAGTATTGAGTATCATCCTAAATTTCAAAGAAACCCAAATCTAGGCTGGAGGCTTGACTGAAGTATCTCTTTCGCATCTGCCTCAGCAGCAGCTAAGGGTTGCCAAGGGACCCAGTGGTTGCATTGCAAAGGCTTGATGACCCAAACAGAAAAACCTGAACAGCTTGGGTTACAACCGGACTTCTAGAAGGCAATGGTGCAGGGAAATCCCTTCGGTTTCTTGGTTTGGGACGATTTCAAACCTTCAAGGGGACACGGGCATTCAGGAAACTTGCAAACACAGCTGTTGTGGTTGCGCTTCCTGACCACTGCCGATACCACAAAGGAATCAATGGTTGGGCCCTCATGGTGTCGAGATGTCCACGCTGTTGGCAAATTCTCTCTGCAACCAGCTCAGCAGTCCAACTTTACTTCATGCACTCATGGATCTTCATAAATAATTAGTGATACTACTGTAATATTCCCTGACCCAAAGCAAGGCCATTTTGGGAGAGCTACCTGAATCCCAACCATCCTTCCTTTGATGTTGCAGTGAGGTTATAATTTGTCCAGATGCATGCAAGATCCTTTAGTTCAAAGGGTTCGAGCCGCTAAATGTGCCAAGGTGCCATCTGAGGAACCAGCTTTGGGTTAACAAAAGATGTTGCTTCAATGCTTCCTTGGTCAATGGAAGTGGCAGGATGTCCAAACATGCTCCATGACAATCTGCAGTGCTCAAGTGAGCAGTGGAATTGCCAGGGCCATGTGAAATTTCCATGTGAGATGTCTAGGATTCGGAAAAGCCCTTCCACCTGAAGACCAAGAAATAGGGACCGAAAAGGGCTTCTTGAAGAGAACGGAGCAGTTGCATCACCACATCTTCAAGGTGCCCCTGGTCCCCCTTTCCAAAGGTCGCTTCTCGGCCATTTTCTCGCGAAAAAGTTTCTCCTTTGGAGACTGTAACGGCAGTGAGACGAGGTGCGATCCGGAGGTCAGTCCCTCAGAAACAGCGCTGCTGATCATCTCCTTAACACCCTTTGATACCCTGTGAGTTTAGAAGTGCGTATGAATTAATGTCAAGTTAGGATTAACAAACCCCGCGGTATTAATCAACCCCCTCTGCCCAAAAAAACATGTAATTTAAAAAAAGGTGGTCCCCCAGGATTCATAAACCCCCCCGATTAAAAAACCACCAGTGCTGAAATCATTTTTTTATCCAACAATTGTTATTTCCAATTCTATTTATTTTCAGTTTGTTTTTACCCTCCACATCCACGCGCAAAAAATATTATATAAGTTCTGTTGCGTAAGAGCTGCAGGGTTTCCAAGCAAAACCAGAGTTGTGCCCAAAAAGACCTACCTCAAAGCTTAAGTACAAAATCGATAGCACTTGGTATTCGCTGGGTTGATTTCGATGGAAAACATCCAGGTTTCCCCCATGGTTTTGTGAGTTTTACCCTTCAACACAATGAGGTTGTCCACTTAATTTTCACTGTCATAAAACCAGCCACCTGAGGGCTTGGGACCATGGGCACTAAAACCCCTCCCACCAGGTCCCGGATGTCACTCGGACGTCCAAACCAGGCATGTCACTGAAGGGGTCCACCCAGTATCAATGTGTCTACTCTATATAGTGCCCGAAAATGCCCAAATTCCCCATCTGGTTGGTGGTTGACCTACCCCTCTGAAAAATATTAGTTATTAGTCAGTTGGGATGATTATTCCCAATATTTCCCAATATATCATGTTCCAAACCATCAACCAGCCATGAACTGAGCCCATTGTTTATATAGACCCCCGACGAACTCGCCTCGCCTTTGGCTTCTCCACTGGAGCCATGGCCGGCAAGGCACCTTTGGAGTCAGTGAGTTCACCCAGGGCAAAAGGGAACCTGTTCTTTTTTGGGGTGGACAGCATCATTTCATGGGGGTATGGTGGGGATATAACATGATACATCATGATACATAACCATCAGAAATTGGGATATATACAGGGAAAAAATGATCAAACCATCAAACATTGGAATGTTCAACATGATTTAAAAGGATTCAACATGATTTAATCATGTCCAACCAATGAATAACGGAAAACAATGGGGATATTGCAGAAGTCAACCAAGCAAACCGGAAAGTTTACCCGCAAACAGTGGAAGTACCCCAAGACAATGCAAGAGTTTGAGACTTTTGCGCTGAGTCTGTGCAAATAGTCAGCTTGCAATCCATGCAGAAACGGTAGCTCTATGGCCACCCCTCAGCCTCAGTCGAGGATCTTTCGGTACAGGGATTGAAGGTCATGGCCAATTTTCAACAGCCAGAAAGCAACGATAATAAGGACACTCAGCACAATGTGCTGAGACTCACCTTTCAAAGCCTTTAGGGTCTGCGCGGACAGGAAGCACACGATAGCAATGGGAAAACTTACATCAGTGAGATACTTGAAAGCACAGTGAGACCCCATGAGGCTCACAGGATCCTTGATTATCAAAAGGAATTGTCCTGAACCATCTGCACCTGGCTTCTGATACCAGTGCACCATTTTTGACATGTTTATTCCACCTGCGATGGCAAGTGTACGGGCCCAGTCCCCTTGACTGTGAATGACGGCTCTCAGGACAGCCTCTATCGTGTCCAAGCGCTTTCCTTTCACTTGGTCCAGATTTTGTAGGACAGGTTCCAATGCAATGCGGCACCGGTTCTCCCATCCTTCTAGCTGGTTGGCGGCACGAAGATGCGTTGCGCATGCCATGGTACCACAAATGGCGATGTATAGGCACGAGCCTTCAGCATATGCCAACAAGCACACATAGAGCCACTTAGAGATCCAGTGGGCCCCTTGCCAATCCTCAGATTGGTATCCACTGAAGTCGGAGGCTACAAAGCCGGCCAGGAAGGTTGCAACAGAAACCAATGTCAGCAAGCCGTTTACCAAGGGGCTCTCCTTCACGGTCAGGTCCAACTCAAGTTGCAGATGATCCGGATCCTCGATTGAAATCAGATCGTCGTGCTTGAGTCGCTCCTTTGTGTCTTGAAGGATCTGCTTTGTCACAGTGTCTTCATTGTTCAAGAGCGCTGTGCAGGCTTCATCTCCCATGGTTGCTACTCAGGCTCCACGGGCCACACAGGCCACACAGGCCACAGAGGCTACACACGAAATCGTCCAAACGGATGGTTTCATCCAACTTGTAACATTGTCTTAGCATATGCTTTAGCCCCTAAATAGCAACAGAACATCATTAACAAACAATGAAGATTCTATTGACTATATTGAAGTCGGTGCTGGATCCGAGCCATTGGGAGTTTCTGATCTGCGCGTCTCCGCAAGACACTAAGTAAGGGAGAGATAATAATGATACCTTCCACTTATCAAACATGGCTGGCTGGAAAAATCCCTTTGTAATCTATATACAAAGGGTTTTACATGGGAAAATCATCTATTGTACGTAAATAAATTACTTTACTTCGTGTGATCCCCACCATGACATTTATACGTTTTGTTACTGGCAAATATTCTGACATTCTATCTGGCATATCTTCTGGCATTCTATCTGGCATATCTTCTGGCATTCTATCTGGCATTCTATCTGAAAAACATTCTGGCACTTTATCTTGCATACCTTCTGGCAAATCTTCTGGCATATCTTCTGACATGCTATCTGGCATTCTATCTGGCAAATCTTCTGGCATTCTATCTGGAAAACATTCTGGCACTTTATCTTGCATACCTTCTGGCATATCTTCTGGCATTCTATCTGGCATATCTTCTGGCATTCTATCTGGCATATCTTTTGGCATTCTATCTGGCATATCTTCTGGCATTGTATCTGGCATATCTTCTGGCATTTTATCTGGCATATCTTCTGGCATTCTATCTGGCATACCTTCTGGCATATCTTCTGGCATTCTATCTGGCCGTTGAGGTCCAGCGGTGCTCACTGAGCTCGGAAGGTCCCAGGTTGAGGTCCAGCGGTGCTCACTGAGCTCAGCGGCCAGGTTGACGTCCAGCGGTGCTCACTGAACTCGGCAGGTCCCAGGTTGAGGTCCAGCGGTGCTCACTGAACTCGGCAGGTCCCAGGTTGAGGTCCAGCAGTGCCCACTGCGTGCGAAAGTTGGCGAAGAGCTTGGCGAAGAGTTGGCAAGGCGGAAGTGAACATGGAAGTGAAGGCAGAGGTGGTGGAGGAGAACGAGGAGAAGGAGAAGAAGGAGGAGGAGAAGGAGAAGAACAACTCTGATAAAATCTAACAACCCTCACCTAGCAGGTGTGGAACCACTTTGTACTGGCCAAAAGTGACCACGGTTGTTCGGGGTATTGCCACCCTACCACTTTGTACTTGCCAAAAGTGACCAAGGTTGTTCGCAGGCAATTCTTGTCATGTTCTGGGGTATTGCCACCCTACCCATGTACTCCTCCAAGCCAAGAAAAAACCAGGTGCGAACTCGCCTGGACACACTATCATCCCAAACTCCTCAAGCCTCCCAATTTCTTCCCTTTTGGCTGCTGGTCGCCCCAGGTTCAGCACCTCCATTCTGTAGCCTCTGGGATCCACTGGCGACTGTGCAGCTGGGTGAACAGGTCCCCATTTTGTTTCTGCGCATAGAAAGGTGGCAGTACATCTTCCAAACAAGTACCAACACTCGCCATTATTGCGCAGAGAAAAGCAGGGGATAAGAGGACTCAGGTGGATGTAAGATATGCAAGGAGGTCAACAATCCCCCTCTGCATGTTGCAAAGAGTTACGGTGATGCATCGGCGGTGCCTCGCTTTGACGTGTGATCCCGCTGGAACACAACCATTCCAGCAACTTTGAAAATCATTTAAGAAGGATTTCCAAGACCAACCACCATATATGTTCCCGTCAAGCAGTAATTAATAACTCAGCCAGTACACATATTTTGGGTTGATTCTTAAAACTGCTTGAAGGGAACACATATGCGGAAAACATCTGCATTGATGATGCCAAAAAAAAACAACTCGGCATTCATGAGCAAGACAATGTGGTCTGGTTGGTGGTTTCACCCCCTCTGCAAAATATTAGTCAGTTGGGATGATTATTCCCAATATATATGGAAAATTAAAAATGTTCCAAACCAACAACCAGTGGTTGATAGTGGTTGCCTGTAATTTCCCTCCTCAAAGCACCCCTTTGACTTCGCCTGCAGAGTCTGGAAGATCTTTGGATCTTGGCCGAGCAAATCTGCCAGATTCAAGACCTGCCCGAGTAGCGAATCCGAGGGATGCGTTCTTGCTCGTTGTATCACGTTTGTAACGGGGTAACCCAAACATCTAATTTTGGAAGGTTTGGTCCACCCACCTTTAGGGAATACTGGGGACTTATGATTTGTTTTCACCACATGGATGGATTTGGTTTGGAATTTTAGTGGCATATGGAACTTCAAATTACTTTACTTCGAGTCATTCCCGCCATGACATTTATACGTTTTGTTACGGTCAGGCGTTCGCTTGTGCCGCTTTTTTTTGCGTCGCTTGTGCCGCTTTTTTTTGTGTCGCTTGTGCCGTTTTTTTTTGGGTATCGGCATCTTTCCTGTAAATTACCGTATAAAATGGTGTTTTGACGTGTTGCTTTTTTGACGTCGCTTGTGCCGCTTTTTTCTTGGCGTCGGTTTTTGACCTGTAAATTTGCGTACAAAGTGGCGCTTTTGCGCGTGTTGTTTTTGATGTCGTTTGTGCGGCTTTGTAGTGGCATCGGTATTTTACCTGTAAATTTCCGTATAAAAGTCGCGCTTGTGTGCTTGCACGTCGACTGTGTTGCTCTCCCTCTACGCGATCCTTGTGCTTTGCGCAGTGTCTCGTTGCGGTAGACACTCGGAGGTATTGACGAGAGACTTCCAGAACATCAAACAAAATTTTTAGACAACTCCGCTGAGTGTTTTCGGTTTTGCCTGTCTTGGTTTTTTCTGGAAGGTTTCTAAGGTGGCAAGGTGATGTAACAACAACACCCTTTGGAACATCCCTTGACGGTTTCTTTTTTTTACTGAACTGAGTGGTCAAGTTGTTGACATACATAAGGGTTATGTTGACCGCCTGTGTGTGCATAGGAACATGAACGTTATCATCCCACCCCACCCCACCCCACCCCACGGGTAACTGATCATGAAAGAGCAGTGCGTGTAAGTGCTCTACAGCAAGAAAAATGATGAGGTTGCTGTGCCTGTGCAGGCATAGGAACATGAACCTTATTAACTCACCCCACCCCACCGGTAACTGATCATGAAAGAGTTGTGCCTGTCTCTTCTCAACAGCAAGAAAGATGATGAGGTTGCTGTGCCTGTGTGTGCATAGGAACATGAACGTTATCATCCCACCCCACCCCACCCCACCCCACCCCCCACCCGCACGGGAAGAATGATGAGGTTGCTGTGCGTGTGCAGGCATAGGAACATGAACCTTATTAACTCACCCCACCCCACCGGTAACTGATCATGAAAGAGCTGTGCCTGTCTCTTCTCAACAGCAAGAAAGATGATGAGGTTGCTGTGCCTGTGTGGAAACGTTTCATCCCCCATCCCCCCAACCCCCCCAACCCCCCCCACCCACCCCACCCCACCCCACTGGAACATGAATGAGAGTTGCTCTCAGGATCGTTTTTTTGCATTTGGTGGAAGCGAAATTTCGTGGAAATTTACAGGTAATCAGAGGTTTTTCGGCGCAAGTGATGTCGAAAATGTGAGGGGGTCATTTTCGGCGTAAGTGACCTTAAAAATTTCGTCCTAAGTGAACGTGTGACCTTTTGTTACTGGCAAATCTTCTGGCATTTTATCTGGCATATCTTCTGGCATTCTATCTGGCATATCTTCTGGCATATCTTCTGGCATATGTTCTGGCATATCTTCTGGCACTCTATCTGGCAGGGCATATCTTCTGGTATATCTTCTGACATTCTATCTGGCATTCTATCTGGCAAATCTTCTGGCGTTCTATCAGGCAAACATTCTGGCACTTTATCTGGCATACCTTCTGGCATTCTATCTGACATTCTATCTGGCATACCTTCTGGCATTCTATCTGGCATATCTTCTGGCATTCTATCTGGCATATCTTCTGGCATTCTATCTGACATTCTATCTGGCGTTCTATCTGGCATATCTTCTGGCATTCTATCTGAAAAACATTCTGGCACTTTATCTCGCATACCTTCTGGCATATCTTCTGGCATTCTATCTGGCATATCTTCTGGCATTCTATCTGGCATATCTTCTGGCATTCTATCTGGCAAATCTTTTGGCGTTCTCTCTGGCATACCTTCTGGCATTCTATCTGGCAAACATTCTAACATTTTATCTGGCATATCTTTTGGCATTCTATCTGGCATATCTTCTGGCATTTTATCTGGCATGTCTTCTGGCATTCTATCTGGCATACCTTCTGGCATTCTATCTGGCATATCTCATGGCATTTTATCTGGCATATCCGCTGGCTTCTATCTGGCATATCTTCTGGAATTCTATCTGGCCGTTGAGGTCCAGCTGTGCACACTGAGCTGGGAAGGTCCCAGGTTGAGGTCCAGCGATGCACACTGAGCTCGGAAGGTCCCAGGTTGAGGTCCAGCGGTGCACATTGAGCTGGGAAGGTCCCAGGTTGAGGTCCAGCGGTGCACACTGAGCTGGGAAGTTGGCAAAGAGCTTGGCGAAGAGTTGGCAAGGCGGAAGTTGAGGTGGAAGTTGATGCAGGCATGGTCGAGGCGAAACAGGCGGAGGAGAAGGACGAGGAGAAGGACGAGGAGGAGGAGAAGGAGGAGGAAGAGGAGGAGGAAGAGGAGGAGGAGAAGAGCTAGCCGAGGAGGAGAAGAACAGCTCTGATAAAATCTAACAACCCTCACCTGGCAGGTGGGGAAAGAACAATGAGATGATCCAGCTACCTGTTTTTGCCACTACTACTGTAGTACATACCCTGAATCCAACTCATGTCACGGTGAACCGACTTTCCTAGAGATGGATCTAAAGTTTAGTGATGGGGCTCCAGGGTTCAGGCTACAAATGGAGGAACCTGAGGATGATTGATGTGACATGCATCTGGGTAGGCCCCCTCTATATATATACATATATATATATACTACACATATATATATAAATATATAAATATATATATATATACTACATATATATATACTACATATATATATATATACTACATATATACAGTATATATATAAATATATTCAATTGAAAAAAAAAGGGAAGGACAAATAAGACATTCAAACAAACATATCCTGACACTTTGTTGCGGAGCTACGCAGATTTACCAGCCGACTATCAAGCACTGTGCCAGCCTGGGAAGGATTACTCGGGTTCCAGTGTCTGTCAGTGCTGTTGTTTTTCTGCAAAATGCCACGGGACGAAGAATCTTGCCGGGGCAGACTGTCTGCCTATAGCGGCCGGCTGCCGCAAAAAAGAAGAGTTCCGTCTATCCAGGCTGGACTTTGAACATGTCAGGACTTTACTCAGTTGCGGCAACTGCTTGAGGACAATATGCACAAGAAAAACATATCCACACAGTAGTCTTCCCCAATCTCTCGCTTCATTGCCCTCTCCAAGAGGCTCATCCAATACATTCATATACATTCCCCAATTGGTAGATTAACCAATGGGAAAAAAACAAATCACCTTCAGCAAATCTAAGCGTAGTTTCAAGTTTAGGAGAAACATTTATATAACTGTGCCAGTAAATACACGAGGCAAACCATTTCAACGTCAGAATTCGTGTGGTTGAAACGCAATAAAAGAAACCCTTCTGCACCCTCCAGCAGCTGGGAAGTCCTTGCACAGCCTTACATTCTGCTGTGCAAATCGTCGAACATGTGCCGACAAACTCCGCATCACTGCAAGTTCTAAAACCAGCGCATGCCCAACACTGCTCAACAGTTTCAGGCAGCGCCATCTGAGCATGGTGCTTGCTGTACCATTCTCAAGACCTGATCCAGTTCCTTAGAAACCGAAGTTACTGGGGACCCCTGCACATGTTGCAGGATGTAGATGTTGTTGTTTGCTCAAAACCGCCCTTCACTATCTAGTAATTAATACGTGCTGTACATATAAATAAATATAAGTCATTACGTATATTATATGCAAACATATAATGATTATGTATATTCACATATATGTACAGTAAATATACATATATATATATGTTTATATGCTGAAGATTGCTGAAGTACAATGATTGATATTAGGTGTACATAATATATATATATAATTGTATATACGTATCACTTATCAAAGGAATGCCTCCCTACCCATTGGAACACGCTAAGTTTGTGGTTTTAACCTCAATTTGGTATCATGATCCCAGGTAGGTTTGAAAACAAACATAGCAATGAGACAACATTTGAAACCACCAGCCAATCTTTTTTTGCTGGAATCATCTACAGAAATCAACCCATCATAGTTACCATCCATTTTCCCATGTTCACCCAGTCATTGAACAAGCTACGACCAACAACTTTTGACTTGGGAGAACATATGCAATCGAATGAAGCCCTTCCAAGCCCACGAAATGGTAAACTCAATTGCTCACCCCAACTTTTTGAGGCATATCATGGTTTACCGAAACCATGAAGGTAAACCAAACAACACATTAAAGACAAAAGGATTCGCGGCGCCCATACTTATGGTTTCCCACCAGTTTCGAAACACATAGGAACATCTTCATCACGGATACTGGCAAGCTAACAGTTTGTGAACTGGAAAATCACCATCTTGTTCGGAAATCATCTGCCATGGCTTCCAGTTCGCCACCGGATCGGTATGCCAGGCAGCTTAAACAGCTGGCCGGCGATGTAGCTAATGCCGGCGCCGCGCTCCACCTGGGCCCAATCGCCCAAAGAGGGGGTTTCAACGGTTCAACGCACATGGAATCCATGGAACTGTTTTTTGTTTACAGGAGAGTAGTCCCAAATCTGATTTTGGATGATTTTGGTAGATGTAGCATGATGTAGCGCTAGTTCATGCTAGGTACTAATTACAGTATATTACACTTACTCATATCCCACATTTATCGTGAAGAATTGGAGTATCATGGCGCATTGACCTATACCCAAGCAAGATTTCGCTACAGTAGTCGGCAACCAACTGGGAAGTGGACATCTCATCTCTTTCTGAAAACGTGGTGCTTTACCAAGTTGTCATGGAAATTGTCAGATGGACATTAAACATTCACGAACTAAGCAAAGCCACGAGAGACTTTGTTCCATCTTTTTTGGGATCCCTACTTGGACGTGTATGCCAGTGTATCCCAGTTAGGAAATGGTTCGTCCTAGCAACTATTCGAACAACGCAGTTCTTCATAAATGGGAGCCACCCAGCAATGGGAGGACTTGCCCTCTGCTATGAATCTGACTTGACACGGTTGGTTCATGTCTATCGGACAACCCATGATAAGGTTCACTACATATATATATATATGCATACATATATATATGTATATATATATAAATATAAATATTGTACATATACGTAACTGGGCAATTGATCCACTTTGCAACTGAGCTTGGTAAATATGGGTCATTGACCACTTGCGATTCATTGGACCCAAACGGGCTTCGACACAGCACGAGCCTGCAACTCTGGCACTTTGTCGGCCACAAAATCGATGAACTCGTACTCCTCCAGCTTTCTGAAATTGGCTCTACCACATGATCTGAAGCTCATGTAAGCTGTCAATGTGAGAGATTGAGAGGGCACATAAACAACAACTATATAAACGAAACAGTTGCTGCATAAATGAACATCATTGAGCATCGAAACGGAACAAAGAAACCCTGTCTTCACGCATGCCCCACCCTCGTCAGAGTGGAAGAAGTTGTAGCCCCTCCCTGACTGCAACATATTCACCACATGCATCAATTTCACCAATCACTTCCCCAGTGTTGTGCTTGGTTAAATACCATTAGATGCCCATCTGTGGTGGCTAAATTCCCACAACCCCCCATGTTTTCATGGTTAAAGTCGGTTAAATAAAACATAGTTTTCCATGTTTTATCCATGGTTTTCCCGCGTCTTTCCACGGCAAAAAATAGGCGTCCTCATCTAACATCACACCCACACCCTCCATCTGTGTGATGGCGCGGGCCACAAAAGCCAGAGCGGGAGGAAGCTTGAAGTACTTCATGACCTGGTTTTGCTGGTGAACATCGTGGACGTATGGGGCTTTCCTAAAATAGGGGTACCCCAATAGCTAGATGGTTTACAATGGAACATCCTGTTAATGTGGATGATTTAGGGCTACCCCCATTTTAGGTAATTTGTATTAATTTGTTACATAGCTAATGGCCCATAGAAATAGATAGAAATAGGTGGATTTACCAAACTTAAAGATGGTGATTTTTCAGTTCGCTATGTTAGTTTACTGGAGGGTAAAGCCCCCCTGGTTTTGATGGCGGTGGTGAAAATCACCAAATTCTGGTTTTGGTGGCTAAGATCTCTTAAAAATCCTGAAAAAAATCTCATTTCTGGACTCATTAAATCCATATGCCGCATACATCCATGTTATAAATTTGGGCCAGTTCCATTTGAAAAACTGGGACTGCTCAAATGAAAACAGTCCAGTCCATTCCTGCAATCCCAATTCCTACCGGTGAACTCCGGCAAATATGGGAAGTTGGAAATGAATTCACAATGTTCTGTGATCACCTGAGGAAATAGCAAAGGACATATATGTCATAGGAGGTACCCCAATAGCTGGATGGCTTGTAGTGGAAAATCCTATGAAAATGGATGATTTGGGGGTACCATGGGGGTAGCCCTCCATTTTTGGTAACCTCCATATGAGTGTTTGTGCGTATGTGTGTGATATGTTTTGATACCACTAGTACCGCACAAGGCGGTGGCGGAAGTTTCAAAAATAGGAAACCTATAGGAGAGATTGGTTGTTGTTCTGACTATCTACCCACCTACCAACCTATCTTCTATGTATCTATCTATCTATCGATCTATCTATCTCTCTCTCTCTTTCATCTAATTACCTATCTATCTATCTATCTATCTATCTATCTATCTATCTATCTATCAGTTGTGAATTCGTAGTTGTAGTTGTAGTGTAGTGGAGTGTAGTGCAATGTAGTGAAGTGTAGTGGAAGGTAGTGTAGTGTAGTGTAATGTAGTGTAGTGTAGTGGAGTGTAGTGTAGTGTAATGTAGTGCAGTATAGTGTGATTTAGTGTAGTGGAGTGTAGTGGAGTGTAGTGGAGTGTAGCGTAATGTAGTGTAGTGTAGGGGAGTGTAGTGTAGTGTAATGTAGTGTAGTGTAGTGCAGTGCAGTGTAGTGGAGTGTAGTGTAGTGTAATGTAGTGTAATGTAGTGTAATTGAGTGTAATTGAGTGCAGTGTAGTGTAGTGTAGTAGAATGTAGTGAAGGTGTAGTTGTAGTTGTAGTTAATGTATTGGAGTGTAGTGTGGTGGAGTGGTGGTTGCAGTTGAAAATGCTACAAAACCCTCACGTTTTGCTCACTTTTGACAAGGTCCGCAATCCCTTGCGCCTGCCACGCGAAACGACATCTGAACCTCCAAAAGTGGTCGGTACATGTAATGTTTTGTACATTTTGACTTCGAAATGTGCTTCGCGCCACAACGGCGTGCACTTTTTCGACATCCGAACCTCCAAAAGTGGTCCGTACATGGTGTGTTTTGTACATTTTGACTTGGAAATGTGGTTCGCGCCACAACGGCATGCTTTTTTTCGACATCTCAACTTCCAAAAGTGGTCCGAACCTGGTGTGTTTTGTGCATTTTGACTTCAAAATGTGCTTCGCGCCACAATGGCGTGCGCTTTTTCGACATCTCAACTGCCAAAAGTGGTCCGAACCTGGTGCGTTTTTGTACATTTTGACTTCAAAATGTGCTTCGCGCCACAACGGCGTGCACTTTTTCGACATCTCAACTTCCAAAAGTGGTCCGAAGCTGGTGTGTTTTGTACATTTTGACTTCAAATCTGCTTCGCGCCACAACGGCGTGCAATTTTTTATCTCTCATCTGGCCAGCTGGCTCCGCACCCGCCGCTTTAGCGAGCCTACTTTTCGACCCTCCGGAGCCACAAATCATTGGAAAAACACAGTGAATCGCGACTTTCCTACCTTTTCGCGCATCTGTATCTTCTTTCTTCTGACTCTTTCTCTTCTACTCTTCTCTCTTCTAATCTTTCTCTTCTCTCTGCCTCTTCCCTTCTCTGCTTTTCATCTGTCCATATTGTCGGAAGTTTGACTTCTAAACTTCCTTCGATGATTATGATTTAGCCGTGCAGGATCCATCCAAGTAACCCCCCGGAACCCAGGAAGGGGGAAGGAACGCCATCACTATCTGTATCTTTCTTGGTCGTCATCTACCAGCCAAATCACATCATTGAACAAACATGCCAAACCAAATGAATTTTCAGTAATCAGTAATGTCTCATAATAACGAAAGATCACATAGATCACATGATATACCATCTGGTTTTTCAACATAGCCATGAAAAATCACATTTTTTAATAGGTAAACCAGACCATCTATTTCTATGGGCCATTCCCATGGCTACGTTAAATAACCAGAGGGTAAAATGTATTCCCATTGGTCCCATTATACATAATATGATATGTTATCCTCTGGTAGGCTAACATAACTATGGAAATCACCATCTTTTTAATGGGTAAATCAACTATAAGTGGGCCATGTTCAATAGCTATTAAATTACCAGAGGGTATATTGCCATATGTTGCCTCTGTGGCCGGGTATTTCATTTGAATATATTTTAATATGTCAAATCCGCGGTTGGCTGCTGGTATGCGTTGCCTTTCAGAATGGAATTGCCGTCACGACAGGGAGGGGCTTTCAGTAGTCCATACCATGGACCCAAACCGTCGGTTATCATCCTCCCAACCTCCAGGGGAAAGTAGATGAAAGTAGTCTTCCAACAGCCCATAGTAGGGTCTACGCTGGTTGGGGGATGGTAACCATTAGTTACAAGGTCAGTGTCAAAAAATGCGTTGGGACTTTAGGATGCCATGCCACATTGTGTAAGTGCATTTTTTCCAGAATCTGTGCCCCAAATCCCGCATGTCAAAGCAAAAAAATGATGTCTTCACCCTGCACCTACCCGACCTATCCTTCACTGGTTTCCCTCAGCCTCGGTCTGCTTTGGTGTCTTTTGATTCTTTTCCTCTTCCGTCAGTGCGCGCTTTCCTCGGAAAAATGGATGGGCAGCAATTCCCTTGACCACTTTGCTTCCCCTCAATGACCAAGAGAACAGAAAAAGAACAATGAAACATATTATGCTGGAACACTGACATCGGAGTTTCTCACATCTCTATACTCTATAAAGGGTAAATTATATTAAATTATTATAAATTATGCGTATTATATGTTTTCCGCAATTGCAAGCTTTGCAAGTCTGGCACCGGGCAATCATCTCACAAAAGGAGCATACGGTACAAGGCGGTGCCCCCAGTACGTTGGCTAAGTTGGTTACAATTCCAAGAAGTACGGCAAGGTAGGGGTTATGGTAGATTAATATCAATTGGTGAATGCATGTTTGTCTGGATGTCAATGGATTTTAATGGTGGCTATAAACCAAGAACTCTTTCACTGGGAAGCCACCAAAAAAACAATCGTTCGATGTCGGGCGTCGCTTGCTGCGTTTGCTCTTCACCTTGCCCGTCTCGAAGTTGTTTTGCACCACAGCCTCCACTTTCTTGAAGTCCTTGAGTGTTTGGCAGTTGATTTAGTTGATTTCCAACATGTTTGGCAAATATGAGGGTGTTGAGCCTATTAACGGCCAGGCGAGGAATCCCGATCAAATATTGGTTTCAACAGAAACACAGGGACTGCCGACTTCAATGCATCCAATTGAGATGGAGCCGGTTCAAATTCATCAACAATACAGGAATATGGGTCCTGAATAGGCCTATCTTATAGCCATAAATTATATCACAATAGTACAATGTATCTAATGAGTTCATCAAGTTTATCATAAATTGGACTTTTCGTTTGGAACGTTATGGTAAACCATGATGAACCCATCTGCATTGGGTGTGCTTCATTTTTGGGACAGCCTCACATGGGGTATGGATCAAAATTGAGCCCCAAGCGAAGATGGATTGCAGCATTCTTGGTTGGTCCAAAATAAACTTTGGATTCATGATCACAATGGAATTCAGAGAATTGGATAGATCGAATTAACACGTCAGGAGCTTGGTATTGTTTCATCATGAAACTAAAAGAGCAAAACTCCAGCTTCAAAACAATCGCAAATTCTGAGGGCTCATCAATTCATGTTGGGATCGGAGATGATCGGAGGTTATATAGGCCGAGTCATCCAAAAGCAGTGGCCCCAAATGTGTTGCTCTTCGTTGCTCTTCATTGCTCTTCCACTTGGGCACTTGGGTTCCAATCCCTTTGCTCATCGATTCAAATACCCGCGTGAAACTGTGAAATTCATGTCCGACTCCCCCCAATCTTGGTGAAGTCACCGCATGGTCGTTGACCAAATGCTGGGCTAAAAGCATCAAATAAACTGTTGCTAAAGCAAGGGCGGAAAAGATTGGAAAAGCCCCAAAAACTGAGTAAAGTTGAAGGATAGTCCAAGGGGCTGAACCCTCCTTGAGACATCCAAGGTTTTTCATGGCTTTGACGCAGGCTTCAGCTTCAAAATCCACGATGGATTGAATCCTTGGAGTATGGCGTCAGGTGCGGCCAGTCTTCACTGTGGTGCGGGGACCATGTACATATCAAGAACCATTAAGATGTCAAGATTCTGATCGGGACACGTCTTTGAACCATGGAGTTTTTTTTTCGGCATGCAAGTGGCAGTTGTGCTTCAAATCTCACAATGCTATACTTCTGGGCTAACGCATAGTGGGCTTGATTTCCGGGGTTTCAGCAGAGGAGAATTCTGCGCGTGACATGCGTCTAAAGTGCGTGGAAGCTTCAACCCACCGTGTCACAAAAACACAAAAATTAGAGCTGTCATATTTTTCCAACAACAAGCCGTTTCCTCCGCAGTTTCAACGCACCCAGAAATGACTTCACTGCCGAAGTTCACTTGCAAAATCCCATCTGCCTGTTTGTCAGAGAGCTCACAGGCCTGCAAGTATCAACACGGATTGCAAGCTACACAAGTTGCCATGGTGGCTCTTTTGGATTTGTCAAGGACATTTTTTTGCAAACCACTGATCGAACAAAAACACCAGTTGATCCTTGATGGGAGACTAGCATGCTACCCAAGGCTTAAGGCCCAACGATGTGAACAGATGACGTGAACATATGACGGCTTCTAGTAGTGGGAATGGTTCCCACCTTGGGAATTTCATGATAGATTGGACCTTGGTTCCAATCGCGTGCGAAAGATATGTGTCTTTTCACATCGATGTCCATGAGGGAACGTGTGTCTGGGTGCTTTTTTTTTGCAAATGTGAACAAGATGCTACTGTGGAACATGCACTGTGTGCTTGCAGATGCACCGAAGGGAAGAGTGCTATAATGTTCTGAGAACAGAAGCAGCAATGGTTCCACCCAGATGGTGTGGACAGTAGGGGGAAAAAGCAAGAAGGCACAAGCGGAAGGTGCGTTTTGATTTTTCCCATTACAGTTTTCAAGCACCAAAACGATACTATTTGCTAACACACACGGTGACCAGTGGAAGACCTGGGTCATGTGGCTGTGGGAGCTTGTCCTATCATTTTCCGGGTGTGCAACTGATTTGTGGAACCATTTTGGTCTTTCAGTTTTGGAAAATGCAGGACGCAACTGCGCATGGCAGTTGTCCTGGTGGTGCCATACCATACCATACCATCTGGGAATGTGTCCATTTCTTGATGGTTCTTGGGAATTCTGATGTGCCTGATGCGCTTAACCCTTAAGTTAAGACTTAAGATGAGCGATGGAATCCAATACAATCCAGCAAGACAAATGCCCTGAAACTTGCGGCCTATCACGTGTTATCCCAGAAATTTGGTGCGGCAATATGTATCACATAGCCTAACCAACAACAAACAAGAAACAACATGTTGAGGGAGCCGTCACCGAATGAACATCAAATAATTAGATTCAGCATTGATGAATCTGTTCCATGGTGATTTTGGATAGAAAAAAACAAGTGCAGGTTGTATCACTTTTCCAGCAGTCACCCCCCAAAAGAAAAATATATTGTGCCCTTGCCCACCTATCGTTCCACCTATCGTGCCACAGCCATGGCTTCGTGGCCAGCCTGCCCGAAATCGTAGAAGATCAAACGGCCACCGGGGTAGCCATCATCCACAGCCAAATTGCCCGGATGAGGATCCGTGTTGAAGAAGCCATACTTACCTTGGCAGTGCTTGGGCTAGCCACTTTTTGTTGAGCTTGTTGGGGAAACTTATGGGTTTCCTTATGGGGTTCCACCATTGTTACCGATTTGCGATGATTTGTCGGTCAAAAACACAAATCAAAAGGGCACCCTTCAGACGAGTGTGATGCTAGGTATGTTCCCCATGTGTCGCTGAAGCATTATATAATCCACGACTCAGAAATCTTCGACCCCAAAGTTTACCCAATCAACCTAAATTAAACTGTCACTCAGGCGTCTTCAATGCCATTCTTCTTTGCCATGCCAGCACCTCTCTAAAGACAAAACGTTTGTATAGCCAGTACAGGCATTAGTGCTGGCATCCCCATTCCACGTCCTTCGTTGGAAAGAAAAAACAGGTCATAAGTCATAACATGCATTATATAATTTATCATTGGCTCATGGAATGTCAAGATTCGTTGGGTCTTCTTTTAAATACCAGTGACCTCAAAACGTGAACACAACTTCTGTTTAGATCTCAGAGATGCTGATAGGACCCCTCCTATCCTACTAGGTTTTCAACCATTTGAGAGAGATCACGGAAATGGCCCAATAGACGCTGCCCCAAACCAAGATACAAAATGCCAGCAGATAGGCTCGCGCCAAGTTTTTCGCCAACAAGGTTCGATCAAAGTTCTGTGCTTCCAGTGCCCTGCAAAAAGGGATGTGCCGAAATTGGGATGAGCGTTTGCAGCTCCAAGACTGTCCACTTGAACATTTCCACCTACTACAAGGAGTAAAAATTCTGGAGTTGATTGCCAAGAATCGAAAAGGCATCCAGCTTTATCAAGTATCATCGTGACAAGTATCCCTTTACAATTCAAGCATGGGCTGCATGCAATCCCCAATTGGCCTCCATCTTTGGGGGGGAAAGACCTGGTCGACCCCATAATCCCGAGGGTAGCGGATGGGATTAGCGAAGTGGTAATTATGGTAATTGGTTGGAACCCACTACATGGCACATCGAAGTATAATTTCATTAGCCAAATACCCACCCTTTTCCAGCCAAGCATCTTGAGATCAGAGATTTTGGTACCTTTCACAAAGGTCAGAGCCAAGACTTTCGAGGTGGTGAACTCATTTATCACCTGCCCAGCCGAAGCGGTGCTGCTACATGATTTTATACATGGTTTGAAGAGCCTTGTGTTCTTTGGTTTTTTGTTGGGATAAATGTGGGTTATGCCCAGCACATCCCAGAACTATGGAGCTTATGGGAATATATAATCATCACGACTTCCTGAAGGGTCTATCATGTGAGAAAAAACGGCTCCAGAAACCACCATGAACCACCAGAACATTGGGCTGACATTGCTGTGCTGAAGCTAATTGACCTGCAATCGGGGTGTGATTTTCTACTGACCATTTCTGGCAAGTCATTGCGTGGTTTGGCATGGTTAATGGCCTTGGGTTTAACACACTACGGTATTTATAGGTACTGAAAGCCGCCAGAAAACAACCAAAACATACCAAAACAACTGGGGTCTTGACAAATCAAAGATGAGGATTTCAACTTCAGTACAACATGTGGTCAAGCTTGAAGGATGACCATGGTCTCCGCAATAGTCTTGCAACACAGAGCCTCACTGTATCTCATTGACATCCGTGGAAGATCTTGGGGCTTGCAGTGATTTTGGGGCGTCACTGATGTTGAGTCATTCCCTAACCTTTGGCATGCTATGCCCGCGCTTGCAATTTCACTCCAAGGGAAATGTTAAACCACTCAAGATTCAGCATTTGAGAAGGAATCGAAAGCTCTAAGCCTTGTGAAAGGGGCCAACCAAACAATCCAAAACAAAGAATCTTCCACAACCAAAAAACATTAAAAACCATTTTGACCGCTATGACTATGACCCTACCCTTGGCTTCTGCTTTCTGCACCAAGACTCGAACTTTCCGGGAATCCCCATGTAAAATTTGACATCAAACCTCCTTAGCTCCCCAAATATCAAAGGTCAATCAGTGTTCCCAACCATCAGCCATCTTGCAGTGTTTCAATGGACCACCTCTTTAGCCAATTGACTTCCAGTAGATTTAAATTGTTTAAAAACATGAAACAGTGGATTACCACATCAGCTGTTTATCCATAGGGTGCCAATCAGTATATATATATATAGATATAGTGTATGTATATATAGATATATGGTGTATATGTGTATGTATATATATATATATGTATGTATGTATGTATGTATGTATGTATGCATGTATGTATGTATGTATGTATGTATGGATGTAGGAATGTATGTATGTATGTATGTATGTATGTATGTATGTATGTATGTATGTATGTATGTATGTATGTATGTATGTATGTATGTATATTATGTAGTATATATAGTCATTTACCTCCGCTTAGGGGGGAGGGTAACCAGTTTTTAGAAGGCCAGGCACTTTGGGACTCGTGGTCCACTTCAGGTCCTGGCACAAAGGGTTGAAATGGGGTAAGGGATGAAGTATGATTACTGGAATCTCTATGGTCCAATGTTTCTCTCTCTCTCTCTCTCTCGCTCTCTCCCTCTCTCTCTCTCCATTGCCATCTCTGGAGATCGTTAAACACATTTGTTTTAGAAGCTACCATAAACGTATCCTAAAGTGCTAAATGATACCAGAACCACTTCCTAAGAAGGTATGGCTGGATCCATAGGGAATAGTACTTGTTCTTGATATTGCATCTATTGCTGACTATATCGTATGGAATACTAGCATGGGAATATTAGCATGAACATATTTTATATTACTGATTACTAAGTAATGAGTGTGAATTCTTTGTATACCATGCCGCTAATCTCCGGAGATGTGGCACAGGCTGTACAAATCCGTCTTCATCTGCTCAAAGATTCCTCGTGCTACCACCTTTCCTTAACTATAACTTTCGGAAAGACGGAGGATTTCCTAAAATCAAGCGAAACATCGCTGGATTTCCTTAAAGTTGTCGTACCAGCGCTGCGTGTTTTCCGCTTCGGCTCGGTAGTCGATCTCTCCTTGCGGAATCTCTGGACTCCCATCCCCCCAGTAAGACGAATCCCCAGATTAGCCGGTCCCAGTGATGTGGAAATTCCCAACAAAAAACCATGGTTTCAATGGATTGATTTAAGGGAAAATCTACAGGAAACCATAGATTTTCCCATTAAATATGGGGTTTTCCTGTAAATTTTCCCTTAAACCAATCCATTGATGGTTTCGTTGAATGGGGGTGTTTTTCATATGAATGGAGGATGGGGTTTTGGGAGATTCTGTTCCGATGCCCAGTTTTGGATGCCGCCAGTTTCGGGGCTGCTATGCCTGGTATGTGTGGCAAGTTGATGCAAACGATTTTTTTAATTGTATATCAGTATTATATGTATTATATGGTGATTTCCTAAAATTAGGGGTACCCCTAAATCATCCATATTTATATGATTTTCCACTATAAACCATCCATTTGGGGAATCCCCATTTGGGAAACCTCCAGCCTCCATATATCGAAAAATGCTGGCCCAAAATTGCTGAGACATCAGATTTATTGCATGATGAAACCGCCCCTCTAATCCAGCCCAGAGTCGATACAAAATCACCTTGGCATCTTCGAACATGTCCTTGGCGAAGCTAGGCTCTGAACATATGAAAGTCATAAAGGGGATCATCATCTCATTCCCATGGTGTTCATATGTAAAACTGCGTAACCCATAGGATCCATGTATGCTATATATGGTGACATTTACCATCAATATACCCCAAATGTTAGCATATATACCATACATGGATCCTATGGGTAAACAATTCAAAGATTTATGGCATCAACACAACAGCCCGCAGCCCATGACAACCTCCACCAAGTCATCCAAGTCCCAGATAGTCCCAGCATCCACCCAAACACCTGACGCCCCTTCAACGCCGATCTTGAACTTGTCCAAGGTAACGGCGATCTTGTCGAACTGTGCCAAGTCCAAGTCATACATCTCCTGAACGGCGTGGCCAGCTAGGGAGCCAGCTAGGGAGTTTCTGAAGTTGGAGAATTTTCACGTGAATTAACGTGAATTATTTCATCTATATACATCCAATCCCAGGAAAACCTTTGATTACAAGATTCTGCATCTGCATCTGTAAGCATGCTTTGCAAGTTCCAACAATGCTTCAAAAAACCAGTGCCCGCATTCCCAAGTGCAAAAGCTTTCGGCAGACCAGGAAAACAAGGAAACGAATCTCTCCGCCGTGGGAAGGGAGAGAAATTTGTCACAATACACGGAAATACCACTGAGGCACTAAGTATCCAACAGTAAACCAATCATGAGGATGCCGGACAAGGACATCTAGTTGAATCTAGTCGATGGTCCAAACCCTTGTTGTGGTTCAATCACCCTTTGAAGTTGCAAACACGCGTGCAACAAGCAAGGTTTGAGGTCAACCCACCATGGCACCTGAGTTTTCTGATCTCAAACCAGCATGTTGTTGACTCATTGACCTTCAATCAAGATATAAAACACCAAGATGTTCAACTTCAACATCCTGCAAGCACCTGCTTTTAACTATGTGTCCGTATTTTAGATAATTTGATTTTTCGATATTGAGTCCGGTTGTTGAGGTTTCAACCCTCTTAAATCCAATTGGATTTTAAATTATAATTACTGAGTCCAATCAAATCCCATGTGATGATGTGTTTAAACCCTACCTCTTTTGATATTCAGACCAACTAAATCATGTTAAATCCATCTGAATCCCACTTTTGCGCCGGTAGAGTTCGATAGTCCAGTTCAGTCGTTTGTTTTTGCAGTAAGGTTCAACCCTGTTAGTTGGCTCTGTTGAATTGTGGGCGATTCTTAAAATGGGGGATCCTCAAGTCCCTATATATATATATATATATATGTATATATAAATGTATGGCTTTCTAAATGCTATCATGATCTATCATGTATGGTCCATGACTTGATGATTTGGGGCTACATGACGAAACCCCCAGGCCCATGTTCCTTCAAGTTGTCTCGTTGGATCTTGATGGCCATCTCCACACCATCCTTGGTCTTGGCTCGATGTACCTGTCCCAGCGACGCCGCCGCCAGCGGCTTGTCATCGAACTCAGCAAAGAGTTCGCCTGACGAAGGCTGCGATCCAGGGTTAAGCGCAAATGATGTATGTACTAAGACAACGTGCACATATGTCATATACATGCAGTATAACTCAGTAAAACAGTATAAATATAGAGGATTACTAATACAACATGCCTGCCGCTATCCTTTTTTGCCCAGGCGCTGGCAGGTTTTCCCAACTCCGTCTCGATGATCTTCCTGGGCGGAGTTAAGCCCATCATCCGCCCCAGGAAATTTGGCTTCACCTGTGCATAATATTTAATACACACATATACTGGTTGCTTAATATATGGTTAATATATGGTTAATATATGGTTAATGATGGTTAATATATGATTAATGTATGGTTAATATATGGTTAATATATGGTTAATATATGGTTAATATATGGTTATTATATGGTTAATGATGGTTAATAAGTTAATATACTGCTTGGTGGTTGACCTACCCCTCTGAAAAATGATGGACTGAGTAACAGTTGGGATGATGACATGCCCAATATGATGGGAAAAATAAAAGCCATGTTCCAAACCACCAACCAGTATATACTGTATATACAGTATAATGATTGATTATAGATACATAGTTGTGTGTGTTACAGAACTTAACGTGTCAATATCTCGCAAACAAATGATCTGCATGTTTATGCCTTAGACGTGTAACCTTAAAGGATCGCATTTGTAGCTGGCTGTTGCATTTCACCATGGTCTGGGACAGTCTGCATGGTTTAAGCTGGTATATATATATATATGTGTGTGTGTGTATATATATATATGTATATATATATATAGCTATATAATTTATATATAGCCATGATATCATCCCATCGATATCCATCCAGGGTTTGTTTCCCACCAGATGGTGTGATTCCCCATCCACTGGTTTTCGCCGAAAAACTTGGCACGTTCTCCACTGAATGCAGGAACTTCATCTTGCAGTCGCTTCCTGGGGGTGCTTGCAGACGCGTCAACAAGGCCAGGTCATTTCTCCGTTGAACTGGAAAATCACCAGTGAAATGGAGGGTTTCCATAAATGGAGGATCCCCAATAGCTGGATGGTTTCTTTCATGCAAAATCCCATTTAAACATGGATGATAACTGGGGGTACCGCCATTTTAGGAAACCCCCAAGTAGGTAAATGATCAAAGTATTCGTGGCCCATACGAACCCGCCATGTTAATGTGCCAGAGTGCACTGGGACTACCCCATGATTTTGCTGATGAACTCACCGCAGGGTATGGGCCGCAATGTCGCCGAGCTTGTTCCATACCCGTGAGAGCAATGAACAAATCATCACAGCCCCAACTGAAACTATCGGAAACTGGGTTCCCACGTGTTTTCACATGATTATCCATTGCAAGCCATGGTAACTTAACTCACCCCCATATCTTGGCTCAGCGGCAGCTCATTGATGTACTCCTTCGGCACCAGATCTTCTCTGCAGGACAAAATCTGACCCAACTTCACCTCAGGACCCAGTCCTGAAAGATCCCAGCGACCGACAACACTGGCCATCCGTGAATCCTGGGGCCCTAATTCTTAGAGTCGCAAGTGTGCGGATGTGTGCGGTCTACCACCTGCAGACGGAAGTGTACCTCCCGAATAGTTCCCAGAATGGGGGAAATCAGAGGAACCTTGTTGAACACTAACCCGAGGAAATACAGTAATTGGATGGTAAGAATGGATGGCTGTTATTTAACTCTAGCATGTTTCCAATCACTTTCCCCGAAAAATATGTGAAGGTACTGTACCCTGGGGTTCCCTGCTTCATGGGCTAGGAGGCCAAAGCTAACTGTTTCCTTTTCCCCTGCAATGATTGGCCAAACTATATAAGATAGGACAAAAAATTTGATCGGCTTACAACTACCCAAAAAATATGGCAGGTTGGAGTGTTGATTGGACATACTACCACAATTAATACAATTAATGGTAATTATACAACGTGGCAAACCCAAAAGTTAATACAAAAACTATCATATTACACTGCCCTCACTTTCTTGAATTTTGTAAAAAATGGGAAAAAGGGTAGCAGTATGTATGTTTATATATTGGTAACCAAATAGTAAGTAGGTATATAAGTAGTAGGGGCCTATCACTGCACAAGTACCTGCATGCACTCTCAGTGGCATAGGTGGGTCCCAATCTGACAAGCTCTGTCACAGCGCGTTTGCCCGCCTGCCGAACCAGAGATCTTGGTATTGTGATTCTTTGCAGTCCATCAGCACTTTTGGGAGGACCCAATGTTGATGCAAAGAACTTAGTCCAATGGTCAAATGCACCTAATTGTCCACAAAACAATGCATTCAATGGATGGAAATGTACAGCCCAAAATTTGACGGCCAAGGCCTATTTTCATATTTTTCTCATCCCTGGGGCATCTTGGATAGCCGCAAACGTTTCTCCCTTAATTTCTCCACATTGAAAAAGGACCTCTTTTGCTGAGATCTGGTGCTCCCGCTGATCCCCAGTTTTGATCAGTCTTGCACATACTTTCGTCCTGAATTCCTCCAGTTTGACATAGTTTTCCCCTAGATTTCTGCAGGAACTTCCACCGTTTTCATCAGTTCCCCCCCCTCTCTCTCTGTCGGAAGGGTAGTTTTCCCCCGAGTTTCTCCACCCTTCAGGCTGGATTTCCCGCCTTGCTGTGCATGGCTGACTTCTTTTCCGGGTCCCGGATGAGTTTGGCGCGCAGGGCGATGAGACCCACACGGACGGCGCCAGCCATGAGCGACAGCATACCTGGGTCGAGTTCCAACCTGAACATCTGGGTGGGGAAACATCCATTTGGGAATGGTTACCACCTATAAACATGATGAAATGGGGGCCTAATGGGGGATGGTTTATGGCATTGTTTTACCAACATAATTAGATAAGATTGTTCATGGCTCAATGAGGCACAATATAACACTGACAATGGTTATGCATAATGACATTGTGAATAGCCGTTAATCATGGCTTTGAAGGATGATTAATGCGTATAAAATCTTATAAATTGTTATTCGTTTAATGGCTTAATTAAATGGACACCCAATATCATAGTTAATAAAGGGGTTTCTTGTAATGGTTTAATACTGGTAAACTTTTGGGGGTATCATTCATAATGTGGAAACCCCCATCATTAATTGTTATTAATATAACAATTGCATTGAATGGCTTAATAGTGGTTCTTAGTGGTTAATACACATCACTAATTATCCGGATTATATATCAAGTTTCGAAACCCAATGGTGGGCTGGTTAGCTCGACATATAATGATTTATGGAGGTTTCCTAAAATAGGGGCACCCCCAAATCATTCATTTTAGTAGGATTTTTCATTGTAAATCATCCATTTTGGGGTACCCCCATTGGTGGAAACCCCCATATCATGATATATTCCCTGGCTTTTGGCAAATGTCTCCACGCTCTTGGCGCAGCCTTTCCCACCTCACTGCTGATTTGGCCAAGTGTCGCTGTCCGGGCTTCCTGGCAAAGCTGGACCACTTCTCTTGCATGGCGTCCTGAGCCATGGGATGCTTGGAAACGGAAAATGGGATACCTCGAAATTGTCCAACCAATGGAGCCAAGTCTTCATTAGGAAATGAATCGGGTAAAATCATATATAATTCTAACATATATGATTATATATGATTATAATATAGAGATATGTGATATCAAATGATGTACGAAAATCATGTACTTCAACCAGGGCTTTTCACTTGGCACTTTGCCAGAGGCTGCGCTCGTTGAAGCCAAGCAGCCCCATTGGTTTCCATGGTCTTGTAGCCTCTCAAGACCTTAGTGCTGAGCACCGGAGCCTTGCAACATGACCAGTCTGTTCACTGTCAGCCCGCTCTGTGGGCGCCCTGTCCAAGTTTTTAGTTTATTCTATTCACAGTATTCACTAACTAATCTGAAATACCCAGGCGTCCCAATAAACAATCTCAAGAATGACAAACGTTGAGACCCTTTTGCAGGTGCACATGTTTGTTTAAAGAATAAGGCGATGTCCAAGACATAGGGAACCTTTTTACTCCACCATCTCCACCATTCTTTGGTCTATGTTGGTAGCTAGTAGCGAAGTCCCCCATTTTGACAGCCAAGGAGCCATCAGGAAGCTAAACACAGCCAGGAGGGAGGGAACTCCCAGCCTGCACAAGGAAAAGCTTCACCAAAGAAACAGGCGCCATATGGTGCAATGGATTTTGAGCAGTGTTTTTCACATATTATGATCTGTTATGATATGTTATGATATGTTATGATATGTTGACATCGGCTCATTGTGTTTGATGTGGCTTCCAACATGTTGATAATGTGCAAAACATAACTGTCGGATTTGAGGCCATTGTTACAGGACAGTTATAGTATGTTATAGTAAAAGTTCCCAAAAAAGCCATCATCCTTTGTGGCCTTTGTGGTGGGACTGATCCAAATAAAGGAAGCATTCCCCAACAATTGCTTTGGAGCAATGCGGGAATGTCAGCTGTCCTTGGGGGCTACCTTCTTTGGGCGACGTTAGAGTCGTTGGAGGGAAGAACATGCAAAGTCCTACATAGTCCTTGCCTTTTTGAGCTGTGGATTGTAAAGAGGTTTCCTACAATGATACCTCAAATCATCTCATCCAGTCATTAGACCCTTGTAGTATTGAAACCCAATGGTTTTGGGGAACCTCCATTTTGAGAAACACCCATATTGTAACCTCCCGAATCTATGCCACGCTTTCCCGGCCAAGCAACATGATCTTCAGCGTCCTTCCTACTCCCCTGGCTGTGGCTGGCGTCTTGTTGGGTCGCCCCGCTATCCGCGACTTTCGCATCGCCAAAGCTCCTGGAGACAGGGGGCAGGGGGGCACTTCCATGGCACTGTGGAGGGCTGATCCTGATTACTCAACACCGCGGTACCGGTTTCTAAGGAACCACATTTACCCATTTAAAACATGTGCTTAGACATTTCTTATCATTTCTTATTCCTCACTCCCCACATTCTTTAAGTTGGTTTTCCCCAAATCTGCCACATCTATCTCTGCTGAACCCAGGCGTCATGGGCTGTGGATCAGCCCAGGATCATCCGGTGCGGGTGATCCGGTAGAGGTGCACTACCCAATCACATCCAATCACATCCAATCCCCATCAGAATCCCACCAATGCCTATTCTTGCTATTAAAATCCATGTTTCCACCAATGCCCCCAGTAAACCCTCGTGCGATGAATTGGGCTACACAGGCCCCTTCTCCTGGGTAAGTTCCCGCCGTCAGCGCTGCATATGTTGGGCCCTGTGCAGGTCGGGTCGCAGGGCGGGGGGGTGCAGCCGCAGGCAGCACGAACAAGCCGCTGTGAACTGTGCCTTGGGCAGGTGCATTTGGGGTGATTGAAACATCTTGAAACTACAATGGATATCAACGTCAGGTTTTCCAAAGGCTACATGGGCAAGACACCTGGGTTGCAGTGGTATCTGTATAACCATTTTGGGTTAACTTCTGTGGCCAGAATCGCGGACATAACTATGATGAAATGGAGGTCAATCATGTATATGTATATATATATAGTATTCTTTCTAGCAGCTGTAACAATGGCTACACCTACTTATTCACTGGAACTGAACCCCCCAAGTCAGTGGTATGATTCCCACCGACTTCATGGCTACAAAGTGTGGCATGGCATGGGTATGTTGATAATCTCATGAGATCTTCTAATGTGATCTAATGTGAACCTCAAATGAATAAAGTCCGTTGATGAAGGTGCGAGGGGTTTTCCCCAACAGATAAAATAAAAGAAATATAGACTATAAAATAAATAAATATATATATATATATACAAATCAATACCCCAACGTGAAAACATGTTCCACGCCAATGCCAAACCTCAACGATCACTCCAACGTGGAATTTCCGAGCTGCAGCATCCTACCAGCAGCGCCAGCCATGCCCGGCTCTTGCGCATGGGGGATGCCATGGCGAAAATTGGAAGTTGCGAGGCTAAAACCTGAGACATTTCTTTGTCCGTTGCTGCATCTCCGCATATTTCAATAGGAACATATGTATATATATATATATATAAATGAGGGATGTATATGTGACAATTTCTCTGTACCTCTCTCCAGTTTTGGGTGCAAACACCTTTATATGCAATTATACATACATACATACATACATACATACATACATACATACATACATACATACATACATACATACATACATACATACATACATACATACATACATAAAATAAAAAACATACATACATACATACATATACGCGCATAGTAGCGAAGTCATTCCCTCATGGCCTCCATTGTTCTATGGGCCTCAACGGCTTGGGTGAAGCCTGGCCACATATCTTCCATTCTTCCATGCTGACCCATATGTATATACATGTGTATGTGATATATATATAATATATATATATATACATGTGTGTGTGTGCGTGTCCTGAGTGCACATATATCATACATATATGATCATATATTATGTCTAGATTCACTTTCATGATACAGCACTTGTCCGTCAAACATAGACAGTACAAATATCATGGCAAGCATGAAGCATGGCCTCCAGCAAGTTCCATGATGTTCCATGATGTTCAGTTTTTTCCTCATTGCCTACGAGTTAAATCATCAGGAATGATGGTTTGTCCTGGTCTGTATTGGTCTCTTCTTCATCTGTTTAAACAAATGTGAACCATGGGAAAACAAATCTTGGATATTGTCATGGCTCATCAATAGACCGCCAATAGCTCCGCAATGTTCAGTCTTTGCCAAAGAAATCATTTGAGCCCATCCCATCTGTGTATTGGTCTTTGACGTTCTATATTGCAAGCAAATAGACTTAAACATTGTTTAGCAATCAAATCGACATAGAAACATCACTGAACAGTTTTAGATTTAAACTTACTGGTGCTTAGTAGGGAATGAGGGAATGATCCACAATAACCATTAATAATCCCATGCCATTCCCCCATTCCCATCCATTTCCTACTAAGCACCAGTAAGTAAAGTTGCGCAACATCCTTGGTTACAACTAGTTCCCCCATAGAAAATCTCCCATGAACTGGTGAACCCCGGCCCTGAAAAAAGCGGCCTTCACAGCCTGGCCACGGCGCCGGTGTCTACCTGATTAGTTATAATTAACCATATAATGGTCAATAATTCTATATTGTATATGGCCACTATATATTACTATATGATAGTAATGTTAGTTATCAATAGTTATCATATATACAGTAATCGTATGGTATAGGATTATTAAATGTTAGTATCAACCATAGTTGTAATTAACCATAGGACCATAGTTCACATCAATTGGGATTCTATCATCATCATAGGGTATCTCCCAACTGATGGGGTTGATTGACCAAACCAACACGGTAACGCATGACCACGGCAGGGGAAAGCAACCACAGCAACCACAAGGGTTTCTTTTCATCTTCAGGACAAAGACAATCAACAAAAATGTCCCCTACATATGAGCACAGAACCAAGTGCAGGAGATCATATCTTATAATTGTTGTTGCTATTGAAATGAGGTGTGTCTTTCAATGCCTCCAGTTTCCAGTACATCATGCGAGAACATAATCATTCTGAGCGTCAACAGCCATGGCTGATACACAGTCGCTTGCTCAACCTCCTTTTTTAAGATCCTTGAACTTGCCCAGAATTCTCTGAAAATAACATCACATATCCGTATAACCAGCAATTTACTGAATCTTTGATGGGAAAACAATGCCAGTCTTGGATACTCTTCATATTTTGCTCTGGTCAATGAATGTATCTAAAATAAAAGATCCAGCAACGGACTACCCAACCATGGTTTACTCAGAAAAAAATGATTGAGCAGTCGACTTCAGGCTGCCTGACTTCTCCTCCTTTGCCGTTCGGGTCGTTCCGAGTGGGGCTGAGAGGTATACGAGGCACAGGATGATGCCTGGGCGATGCAGCCGTTTCGGGGCGTGAGGTTTAGCACTAACTGAATGCATACATGGCTGGCCCAAGGGGAACCAGGGCGGCTGAAGTTTCAAAAGTGGCTCTCAAAAAACTTGGGGATGCCTTCATAACCATTCTTATTCCAAAAAAAACATGTGTATCCAACATTTGCAATGGGATTTCCCCTTAAACAAAATTACACCACCAACTTTGTGGGTCGAATTGATTCGTTGCCGGCTACGTCTCTTCGTCAAACATTGTGGATCCAAAACCAATGGTTATCATGTGTAAAATACAGCAAAGGTTGCAAACCGAAAAAAATACATAAAAGGCCCATTGTTACCAATCCGTTTGCATTCACCAAGCCAAATTTGTTTCCTTCCCCTTTTGTGGCAAAGCTTGGACGCCATGCAAAACACCCGTGCCTAGTTCGCATTCCCTTGTTGCAGCCAAATTAACCAGCCGTTCACCAGTCGGTTTACTCAGTTGTTTGCCCGCAAATGCTGTCACAACCCTCAATGTGTAGCAAAAAGGCATTACTTGAGTATATGTTTCAAGAATGCCACCGGCCAACTATTCTTATTGCGTTTTTGGGTGAACAACAAAAAACATATTTGTAATGAAATAATTACATTTAAGAAAAAAAAACATAAACAAATATATATATATATTAATTTTAAAACATTCAAGTGCTTAAACAAAACCTTCGCCCAGCGGTGACCGGTGGCCATTGATCCTTTCGCTAAAGGCACGAGCCGTCGCTGTCTTCGTCTAGGAGCCGCGAGCTGCTCCTGACCAAGGGCTGGTGGCTGTGGGTCCTTAGCTAAGTTAGGCTAAGTTGGTAAACATTATTTATACATATATATATATGCATATATATATAATATACTGTAAATATATCTCATATATGTATAGGTTAAATATAGATAACTATGGCATTATAAACATTATATCATTATAGTATATTATAGTTATATCATATATAGATAACTATAGGGTTGAAAGATCTTTTTGGTATGGATATGTGTGGATGTTAATGGATGTCATTGGATGTTTATGGATCTTATTATTGGGTGTTTATGGATCTTATTATTGGATGTTTATGGGTGTTATTATTGGATGTTTATGGCAGATGTATCTATTGTTGATGGGCTTTATCAGCTCTATAACATGCTAACTGGTGAGAACTGCAAGAACTATATAATTCCTTGGAGAACTGACCTCAGGAACCATCCAAACAAGGCCATGTCCAACAGAAAATCTATGTTTCAACCCCCATGAAACTGTGCAAAAAGGTCTGAAAATATGGTGTATATACCTCAAAATCCCAGGGTTGGGCTGATCATTGTCCCTATTGGCCATAACTGGAAGATATACATGTACAACCAAACCCAAATATGATATTGTTCGTTGTTCGTTGCACATCCCAGTATGTCCCCATTGCCCGGGGGTTTATTCATCCAGGATTAACATTATCGGGGAGTAAATGGTCACGCTCCAATAGCTACTGTGAGCTGACGCATATTAAAGAACAACAAACTGTGCCAACATATATCTCTGGAAATCCTGTAGGTGCTTGCAGCTGCTGGTTATTTTAGAGTGACTTTTATCTCTCGCATACAGTAGCTTGCACATTTATACCTCCCGTAAACATGTGTAAGTCGCACCATCAAATATGATTTTATATTGGCTGGGTCTGTGTGAGGGTGAACCCAAGTAGGGTGAATACTACTGGATCGCTGCCGTGAAATCTACTGGTGCGACTCCATGGTGAAGGGGTGAACGCCACACATGTGGGGGGTTGGCAAAGCATCCTAATATATTATGATTAGCCATATTGCCCATTGATGAATTATATTTAATTATATCTAATTATATATTTATATATATTTATTTATTTATTTGCATCCCCAAAATGTTACATCCCATCATATAATATTCCCTTGTCTCCCATGTGTATCCACATGCTTGGTTGGCTAAAACCCAGCTGAGCAGTCTAAACCCGAAATGTAATTCCATGATAGTGATTGGTGAAGAACGGGATTCCCAGTTCATGGATGATGCTAACCCCAATAAACGATGGAGTAAGCCTAAAAAACACGTCAACCAAAGGGTGTTTTGAACGCTGATCAATAAACAATGATGCAGTAAGAAAAAATGAAAAACAACATGTCAACCAACTGAGTTTTTGAACGCTGATCA